GCATAAACACTCTCAATGTAAATCTGAATCCCTGGGTGTTGGAGCTAACTAAATAATGTGCAAAATGGCATAGGCTGTAAAAATATTTCCACTTTTGTAATATTTCTCTGTAGATAATTTCTCCAGAGCAGTTTGGTGTGTGCTCCCTGATGGGAGAGGAGTGCTGCAGCATCCTGCATCCAGCTTTCCTCAGCTCCTGGAGGAAAGGCTTCCCAACCATGTGAGGAGCTGAGGGAGAGAAAATGGAGCACAGAGTGTCTTTAAACACGAGGGCTGGACTAATTAGGAGGGAGAATGATGGAATAAAATCAGCTAAACTTGAGAAAGAGGGAAACAAATGAGTTGTTGGGCACAGTGATTCCTGTAACATTTATAAATCGAATCCCTCTGTCCCTCCTTCATTTACAATTGCCACTGGAAGTCAGGATTTGATGTATGTTTTCAGCCTGCTGGAGGCAGGGAGGGTGTTTGGAAGGAAAAAAAGGACATTTTGGAAAACTACAGAGTGAAAAACCTTTCATTTTTACATCATTTGGTGAAGGAATCTCTGCATCCACAAACCAGTTAAGCACATGTGGGCCTGGTAGAAGAGAATAAATAAATTAATAATAATAATAATAACAGGAAGCATTCCAAGAAGTCAGGAGTGACAGTTGATGTCAGTTCATGAAGCAGCAGCACGTTATGGGATGGATTAACTCTGGAGTGAGAGCTCTAAATGGGGAGAAATTATGGAAGAAATGAGTTCTGCCTAAGGCAGGGCAAGGCGAGCGTGCCCAGGCAGGGCACTGGTATTTGCTAACCTGGATTTTTGGGTTGGCTTTTTGGTTTTTATTGAAAATATCTGCTCTTTATAACCTTGTCAGGAAATACATAAACAGGGATGAARTTCCAAAAAATCCTGATGTTGGWGAGAAGGTTCCAGGGAGAGCTTAGAGCCCCTTCCAGGGCCTAAAGGAGGGACACGACAAGGGGGAGTGGCTGTAAGGTGGAAGTGAATGGATTTAGGTGGGATATTGGGCAGGAATTGTTTCCTGGAGGGTGGGCAGCCCTGGCACAGGGTGCCCAGAGAAGCTGTGACTGCCCCTGGATCCCTTTGAGTGCCCAAGGCCAGGCTGGAGCACCCTGGGGTGGTGGGAGCTGTCCCTGCGATGGCAGAGGTTGGATGGGATGAGCTCTGAGGTCCCTTCCAACTGAAATTATCCTGATTTGATTCAGTGGAAGGTCTCTAAACAGAATAAGAGGACAGTCCCTGCCTCAGAGGATCAAACTGTAACAGAAGAGACAACAGAGCTCTGTGGATGCCCTTGGAGCCATCCCCATCCCACCCATCCCTGGGGCTCACACAAAAATCCCCTCTGTTGATTTTATTCTTTGGTAGATTTTTATGCCCTTCTTTCTTCCACATATCCCGAAGTGACTTCCTTCTGTAATCATATTCCTTCTATTCCAATCACAGCATAGGAAATGTTAATTTCCTTCTTTTAATTGGCTTGATAAAGTCTTTTGTCTCACAAATCTTTCCCAATGCATTTGGATTAGGTTTTGTTGTCTTACATGGCAGCAGAGTCCATTGTGTTGGCTTCCAGACTCCGAACTTCTCCCTTTTTCAAGGTTTAACTTTTGTGGCTTTTCCTGCCATGGATAATAAATTCTTTTGTCCGTTGAAACTGAATTTCAAGAAGAGCACTTTTTTTGATGGGCACGCAACTGGGAGCCAAAGCTCGTTATTAATTACAGCGAGATAAGGGCTGGCACCGCGAGTGATGCTCTCCATCAGAGGTTTTTCATTATTTGTCTCTTGGCCCAGCCGTGTCCAAGTCCACCTTTCATCCTTGAGAATGTTCCAGCAGCCAACTTCTTTCTTCTTCTGTACAGAGCTCTTGCTTTTGGGTTAATTCCACTTTTTCTGAAGGGCCGCTTTTCGCTCCGTTTCCCATTTTCCCTAACTTTTGACAGTGAAGTTACTGAAAACTGTCAGGAGCTGCTTTGGAGGAGGAGGAGGATTTAAGTAACACCTGGAATGATAAAATATTTCTGCTTCCTCTTTCAATTTTTATTTGGGCATAAACCTGAACCGTTTTTATATTCATGAGTTGCAGTAACTTCCCGGGTGATAACAAGCCACAACCCAGGTTACAGCCAAGGATTCATCCAGCACAGTTTTTCACTATTGAAGTGATCTCTTCAGAGCAGTGATTTTTCAACTTGCTGCTTCTTATTGCCAGTGCTGTAATAGATATTCTTAAAATTAACTTCATCAGATAAAAATCATCTTAATTTTGCTGTTGCTCTTGGCGCTGGAGGTGCTAAAATATCTCAAAAAGTGCTGTGAGGTTTGCCCTGGAGTTTGCTTTGCAAATGAAGGTAGACTGTAAAAATAATAGCAGTAATACTAGTAGTAATAGTAGAAGTAAAAAATAAAAATAAATAAATAAAACCTTTAAAGGATAGTGATGATAATGATGATGATGATGATGATGATGATGATGATGATGATGTTCTGTTGACTTTCTCTGGGATTCCTCCACTGACCTGTGTTAAGAAGTGTTTCACCCTGTCACACAAAGATTCAGTGCGTCATGAAATCAAATCAAAAATAAATTGGGATTTGAATAATTCAAAAATGAGCACTGAAATCTCTCTGTCTCCTCTTTGAATGTTCCCTTATGGAAAGCTGGAGGAATACCTGGCTTCCTAAAAACCCCCCTGATGCCCAGGGGTTGTTCAATTCCAGCTCCATCTGAACACACATTCTGTGCTCCGCTCCTTTTCCAGTGGCAAACACAGCAGAATCCGTATTTTTTCTTCTCTCTTGGTATTCACTGGAATTAATAACATAAGGCAAAAAATGAGAGTTACAATTTAAAGAAAAATAATGGTATATAAAGTAATGAGATTGTGCCAAAGCTTAATTAGATGGAGTCGATTGAATACATTACAGCGATGTCTTGAGGCACCATAATTAAGTTGTGGGCACAATCCTGCCTGAGTTGGAAACGTTTTTATCTGCATGAGGGAAGCAGCCTTGGATGGCCCCTGTCCCACGTTAAATTGCTGATTCTGAGGAGATGATTTACACACCTCATTGTATTATCAGCCTTCAAAAGCACAAAGAAATCAGGGCTAAGTCAGAGGATAAAAGTGTTGATTGTCTGATCACACAGATAGCTTGGCTTTCAATCTTGGTATGTGCTACAGCACAGTAATTGAACCGTAGATCTCAAATACACATATTTTACATCAGTGCAGGCTGGTAATTCAGCTCTTTTGTAAAATCTCCTAATGAAGCGTTTTCCCCAAAAAGGCACTGACAGAGATGCTGAATTATGGGCTGAAGGGCTGCAATTCCTCCTTGGGTGGGCTGGGTGCAAGTGAAGAGATGCCTCTGACATCTTAATTATAAAGAATAAATATATAAAATATACCTTCATATGTGTGGGTACTTAATTTTTATGTGTATTTCTTCGTATTTTATATATACTTTCAAATTTTAATTTTTTTGTACCTTCCTTGCTAAATTTAAGTTTCATTTTCACATTTGGTTCCCTTCTTTTTTCTCTGTAATTCTTCCATGGGGATGATCTGATTTTCTACTGCAGCAATGTCCCAGGCCATTCAAAATTTTTCCTTTATTAATTAATTTGAATAAATGAATAAATTAATACCCTCTCTTAGCATACTGGTGTCTTTATCCATTTATATAAATACATCAATATACACATAAATGATCTCTTGGCAACATGTTGCCCACATATTAATATATAAATATATAAATATGTAAATATATAAATATGTAAATATATAAATATATAAATATATAAATATATAAATATATAAATATATAAATATATTTATATTAAAATATATACAAACATATAAGTATATAAATATATAAATATATAAATATAAATAATGTCTCTCGCCATCATGTTGCCCATGTGTTATCTGCAGGCTTCATTTCTCTTGGATACCAGACTTTCAGCTAAATATTAAATATTTTTTTCAGATGAGATCACAAAGTATCTTAAATTCATTAAAAACCTTTTTTAAATTTATTTGTTTTAAATAATTCTGGCTTATTTTTTTATCAGCCTGGAGGAAATTAACTTTTTTTTTTTTTACAATAGTGAAATTTCTTTTTTAAGATTGGTTTTGGGGTGGAGGAAAAAAACCAAGCCCAGTAGATGTCAGGAGGGGTTTTCATCATTTTTGGGCCTCTGAGGAGGCACAAATCTCTCCCCCATCCTGCTCCAAAGAGAAGCTTATTTGTCTGGGCATTAGCTGCCAGCTGCACTGCATAAATTTCAAGTTTTCAGGGGGAATCTCGTGTTTGTTTTGAAAATGGAGATCAGGCTACCAAGGAATAATATGTTTATTTTGCAGCACCATGAATATGTAGTGCCCTACTTCTCCTGTGCCATTTGGTTTTCTCTTTTGTGCTTGTCAGGCCAGCTCCTTTTGCAATTTAAGAAGAATTTTAGAAACTCCATAAACTACAGTGGGTACTGAATTAGCATTTTAGAAGTAGAGCAATGAGCAAATGTTTTAAAGATTGTCCTTCAAGAGCATTTCTGTTGGGCTATAAGTGGATTTTTTTTTGCTCATGTGTTTAAAAACGTGTTTTGCTTGACCTTAAAATACAACCAGTTGCATGTCTGGGTTAGATACAACACCATAACTTTAAAAAAATATATATGTTGTTGTAATAAACTGAATTTTTAATGATCTCTTGATTATGAAAAGATATTTTAAAGCTAAGTGATTTTATCCCAAGCATTCCCTCTGTTTCTGCATATGCTAATTTCCTTGATTAATTTGGAGAACATCTGCCTGGAATTCTGTGCACTTAGCAGCAGTGAGATCACCGTGCTTTTCAAGGACCAGCCTCAAATTTCCCTTTGCAGACAGACTCAGAGTTTGTGTCTAATTGGGATGCCAAATATACAAAGGTAGCCCAGAAGAGTGTGTAATTATGTAATTTTCTCTTGATCTTTCAGAGTCTTCCTGCGAGCAATTAATCAGTATGCAGATATGCTAAACAAAAAATTCCTTGATCAAGCCAACTTTGAGTTACAGGTAAGAAAAAAAACCCCAGTTTTAATGAAATAAATGATATTAATGTAATAAATGATATTAATGTAATAAATTCCTGCCCTAAACATGTAATTTTGGAGGGTTTATTTTTCATTGTGAATCCCAGTTATCCCAGTTAAGCCATTCTGGGCTTGGCAGTTTGTGTGATCCATTCCTGGCTTGTCATGGAATCACAACATCACAGCAGGGTTTGGGTTGGGATTCTGCTCCAATCATAGAACACAAAAAGGATCGGGGTTTGTAGCTGGGAAATATTTGTTGGAAACATAAAGGCGACGAGGAGATGTATTAAGAATTTATCAAGAAACACCATCTCTGTGGTGTCTGTTCTTTGCTCCTTGAAATATTTATGTGCATAATTTAGAGACTTTTAAGTTGTTTTGTAGGTGTGCAGAGAAACATTTCAGAGAATTAATGGAACCTCTTCTTGTCATTTTGGGGGCTTTCAGCTCTGGAACAACTATTTCCACCTGGCTGTTGCTTTTCTCACACAAGAATCTTTGCAACTGGAGAATTTTTCGAGCGCTAAAAGAGCAAAAATCCTGAACAAGTAAGTCCTGCTCGTCACCCAAATTGTGGCCAAGAACCCTCAGCAAAGGAAAGCTGTCAAAAAGGGGGAAAAAAAACCCTGGAAATGAGAGCAGAACATGAAGATTTTGTTTAGAGTGATTTAAGGGTGGAAAAGACCTCTGAGATCATGGAGTCAAAGCATTAATCAAGGCCACCTCWGACCCATGTCCCCAAGGGCCACATCCATACAGTTTTAAATCCCTCCAGAGATGGAGATTCCACTCCTGCCCTGGGTGGAAGGGTGGATTTCAATGCCTGACCACCCTCTGAGTGAGGAAATTTTCCCAAATCTCCAATCTGAACCTCCCCTGGCACAATTTGAAGCCGTTCTCTCCATGTCCTGTTGATATTTCTCCTGCCTTTTATTAGTGTTCCACCTTTTCACTGCTTAACTGAACCCCAAGCTCTGAAAAGAGCCCGTTTTGTGATCTCACACAAGTTTGGGGATGCTTTTTCTGTGGCACAGTATTTGGGGCTACAAATTTGGGGCTTCCCACAGCCAGAGGAGTCACAGGTACTGCACAAACCCAGGGAATTTCTGAGCTGTGACTCCCTCAACAAGCACAGCTCGGCCTCCTGGGGTGTACAATAAATAAAATATGTCTGTACAGAGAATGAAAATGCATTTTGTATCCCTCCAGCTTCTAAATTCAGGCTTTTCTGTCTGTTGTTTCAAGAGAAATCCCAGGGAGAATGGGCACAGTTCATCCCTGCTGCAGYGACTGGATTTTAAAGGCTTTTTTTGCTTGTGTAGCTTGCAGGCTTTGACCAGAAAACCCAGGAAGGGCTCCACATCCCATCCCTTTATTTTTGGGAGCTGAGTCTTGCCCTGTGAACTCAAKCACTCCCTCCTGATTTTTGAGGTGTTTCCTTTGGAAAACCTGYTCTACCTTCAGCCTTGAAAGAGAATTTTTAAGCACAGTAGGATCTGCTTTACCTGGGACTCGTGAGGCTTCCTTGATGAAACAGGAATATTTACAAGTTCAGCAGAAAAGTGGTGTCAAGCAGAGCTCAGGGTTTGGGGCTTGTGCCGTAAATACCATAAATAACATTTTAGATAAAGGTTTTTTAAGGAAATGGAGCAGGTATTGCAGAGCCAGGTATGTTTTATTGAAGGAAATGGAGCTGGTATTGTAAAGCCAGGTAAATTTTATTGAAGGAAATTGAGATGGCGTTGCAGAGCCAGGAAAATTTGATTTAATTAAATTTGGATTCCCTTTGCTCTCTCTGCCCAGCATTGGTGAGCACCTACGTGAGCGTTTGAGTTGGGATCAGACTCCTGACCTGAACAAAGAGCCAAGAGCTGAGCTGTAATTGGGCTGGAAATTGCTGTCAAATTCATTTGAGGGCTGATAATCCCTCTTTTTCAGGATGGGAACCACAGGCACAAAATTTCTTGCAGTGGTTTTTATATTAAACAGAGCAATTGATCTTACTGAAGGAACTCAAGGAATCAACAGGCATTTCTCACTGCTGATATAAGTAAATAGATGGACTCMTTGGAAGTGGTTGCTTAATAAAGTTTGCTAAATTGTCAGTCTTTGTTTATAATGAATTTGCAAGTTGTTATTTTCAGTTTAATCRTGTTTTGGAGAAGGAATCAAGACAATAAATTCCTCAAGATGTAATAAATGCATGGTCTGGAGGCACTTTCATTGCTGTGTGAAAGCACTTGTGTGTCAAAAGGGATATAATTAATCAGTTAATTCAATATYGCACTCACCCATCTTTTTAAGTATATATTTCAATTAAAACCTCAAATATTTAATAATTAAAATTTAATTATTGTAATTTGTAGGTTTTGCTAAACATTGCATTTAAGCATTAGATAATAACAGATTCTTAATGATGCARAAGATTCTCTTTAATCCATATTAATGACAGGGTCTCACTGTTATCCCCCAGAAATCCCACAAGTTGCCAGATATTCCAGTTGTGCTCATCTTGTTATTTAAGTAATGATCTTTAACTTGCAAATATTCCATGCAGAGAACAAGTCTTTGGAGCTCGTTACGGTTCTCATCCCAGCATTAATGAAGGAACAGCAGTTTTTCCACTCATTAGGATTTCCTGGTTTTGGTGTGGAGAGGGAGGAGAATGGGAAAATGACCTTGATGGGTGATGGGAGGTGTTGGTGCCWCCAGCTTTGGGCAGGGCTGGTGGTGGATGGGCTCCCACCCCTTCCTGGGATTGGGGAATGTTGGAATTGTTGAGGTTTATGACATTTTTTTCTCCAAATTTTGATATTTATGGTGCGCTTCTGGTGAGGATAGCCAGGTAATCACAGAAGTGTGGATCCAATTTGAGAGCCCGTTCTGGAATTTCTCCTCTTTTTGACTGCTGCGAACCTGATTTTGAAATTCAGTTTATCTGCTTGCAGGTCTCAGATTTATTTTATTTTAATACTGGTTCTGTTTTCCTTTTTCAGGTACGGGGACATGAGGAGGCAGATTGGGTTTGAAATCAGGGACATGTGGTACAACCTGGGTGAGTATCCTGAGCGTGTGTGGCCTTCAGTGTTCCCATAAACAATGGGAAAATTTCCAGAATTCCCAAAATGATGTAGAGGGTTTTTCCTGGAAAAATCCAGTGCCAGGTTGGATGGGGCTTGGAGCAGCCTGGGATGGTGGAAAACGTCCCTGTCCCTGCCAGAGGGTGGAATTGGATGAGTATCAAGGTCTTCCAACCCAGACCATCCCAGGATCCTGTAGAATCAATTTGCTTTCTCTCAAAACAAGGGTGGCCCTCCAGAAGGCTTTTAGAAATCAGGTGATTTAAGAAATCCAGCCACCTCTGCATATTTAATTCACCATCTGGGGAGGCACATAACTCTTGTTCATTTTGATGTGTCTTGGGGTTTTTGTGGTTCTGAGCCTCTTGCTGCACACAAAGCCATTGTTATGGTGATACCTATTGAATGGAGTTTATTTCCTTAAAAATACCAATATTGATTAATTTTTAATATCTTCTAATACTTTAGTATTTAAATGTATTCATATATTAAATATTAAACTATCTCCACACACTTACTCAATTATTTAATATAAAAATTTACTAATTCTTTATTATATAGATATCAATTATTCAATATATCTAATATATTAATATATATAATTGTATTATTTATGATATATCAACATTTATATGTATTCACTCGTGGATGCAGTACCTGGTACTGTAGCAAAGTGATTGTGTCCAAGTAATTTAGCCTGGAAATTCTGCCTGAGCTCTGCTTTTCAGTCTTGTTTGGCTGCAKCAGAGCGAGTCAGTAAAGACTGAGGAGCTGGACCTCGCTGGAGCTCGTGGGTAAATGAGGCATCTCTGCCTGTCTGGGTGGAATTTGGCTGTGCAGGGCTTGAATTTCACAAGAAACTGAGTATTTACTGTGACTTGGCTGTGCTCGTCTGCCAGATTTCATTTTCCTGAGCTTAACAGCACAGACACTTCAGCTCTTCTGAGTTTTATCAAAACTTCCTTAAATTATCAGAAATGAATGTGTTTGCTTCTTCACTTCTATCTCTGGCTGAGCTGTTGTTGCTGAGAGTTGAAAAACCCCGGCATCTGCAAGAGAAGGGAATGCCAAGGGTTCATAAGTATTTGATATCRCAGAATTTGCATCCTATCTGCTGGAATGATGAGAAAAGGCTTCGGAGAGCAGCTGAGTTCACTTTTTATTAGAAGCATCTTGGGTGAATTAAGTGTCTGGAGAGCAGATTAGAGCTTAGTGCACGGCTGCGATGTGCCTTGACAGACAGGTAATAAAATCGGTGTCGTTTCTGCCACTGCATCACCCAGCGTGGGATGCTGCAGCTCTGGGGGAGTAATTAGCCAAATCCTCCCCTCCTGCAGGCCTGCACTCGTGGAATTGTTAAGGTTTGAAAAGGTCGAGACCTGCCAAGGTCACCACTGCCCCGTGTCCCCGAGTGAAATCCCTGCAGGGATGGGGATCCACCACTGTCCTGGGCAGCCCCTTCCAGTGCTTGAAAATCCTTTTGGTGAAGACATTTTCTCAAATCTCCCTCCCTGGCCCATCCTGAGGCCGTTTCCTCTCCTCCTGTCCCTGTTCCCTGGAGCAGAGCCCGACCCCCCTGGCTGTCCCCTCCTGTCAGGGAGTTGTGCAGAGCCACAAGGTCCCCCCAGAGCCTCCTTTGCTCCAGCCTGAGCTTTCCCAGCACCCTTTCCTCCTAATGCTTCTGCTYTCTTTGGATTCTTACAGATTCTTAAACTTCTCCCAGAATTTACAGGACTGAAAATGGAAAGTTTGATGTGGGCTTTTCCATCCAGCTGCTCTTAGCTGAGGTGGTTTTATCCAGGCTGGGCTTTGTGGAGTGCACTGTGCCTTTCACTGCTGCCACTGCCTGCTCTCAGACAGGTTTTTCAGTTGCTCCAGGGTTCAGTTTCTCACCATTAACAAGGATAATAATTTCCCCTGGAGTTTTGGGAATCGATTGGCACAAGGGGTAGTGTTTTCTTCGATATTTCTTCCTGGGCTGTCGTGAAAGCCTTTATTTTTAATGGTTTTGTTATAAATGGAGATTATCTGGGAAGATGGCTCGGTGACCTCCTCAAGCTCTAATGTCTGTGATTCTCTGAGATCCATTAATGGCATCATTAATACCAAAATCTCACATGAGGAGGGAGTCAGGAAATTACTGCTCTTCCCAACAAAAGCTGGGAGAGAAAGGTAAACGTGAGGCAGGACCTCAGTGCAAGGCAGCCTTTGTGCTTCTCCTGAGCAGCACCTTGCTTTYCTCATCTTTGTCACACAGACAATCCACGTTTCACTCATGGATCTGTTAAACTCACAGATCACATTTAATTCTGGCTCTTCACCAGCTTCATCCACACCACAGCATCAATTCAGRAGGAATTCCAACTTCCCACTGCATGGAATCGATGGGGGGTGCCTGACACTTCTATCTCACTGCATTAATYGAATTTTTCGTGTGTAAATTCAAAAACCAGAAGTGAAAAGCTGGAATTTTGGAATGTGCTTGAGCACTGGATTTTTATGCCTGTGCCATTGTGCATGAGATGTGGTGAAACCAAACCACCCTGACTTTTGATTTATGGATTAAAGGGTATAGATAAGCCTCAGAAATTCCTATTTTGTCTCATCRGGTTTTGTTTCTAAATACTATGATTAACACATGATGCCTGCTGAGTTAAAACTCCCCAGCTGGGAACAAAGCAGTCCTCCAGCTATAATGCACATTTAAAAGTATAATTTTTTTTCTGAAATAAAATAGTAAAAGAAGAATTCTCAAAGTTTTTACTTGTCTGCCTGTTTCTGATGCAGGGGGGCCTCAATAGTCACACCTTGCTCCTTTTATGTGCAGRAAAAAAAAAGAACATTTGCAGTGCAGAACAGCACTTTATAGGCTTTTATCCTTCCATACCACAACCTGAACTTTAAAATGTGTTATTTTGAGTCACTGTTTTGTTGAAACTGGGGCTTCTTAAATATCAAAAAAGCATAAAAGMGGCTGTGGCCTGTGTGGGAAAGGCAGGAACTCCAAACCCACACACTGAGAAACATTTTGTGATGGGATTTATCAAACAGAGCCCAAGGCTTTGACACGGGGTCGCGTGCCCAGGTGTGCCGTGGGTCACAGCTCCCGGAATTGTGTGTTGGAGGAATTGCAGTGGCATTTCCAGTGACATCCGTGCGGGAAAGCGGCGCGGACAGCGGKGTGGGTGACGTCTGAGCCGCTGCGGGGACGGAGCGCTGACGGAGCGGTGACGTTCCTCAAGGTGAAGGGCAGCGGTTGTGATGTCCCCCGGTGAGCTGCCACCGTCCCTCCCGGGGCCTGACGTCACCCAAGGTGTCTCAACAGGGCCTTGATGTCGGTGGAAGGAAGGCTGGGGTTAAAAATAGCCCTGAACTTTGGGCGTTACATAAATAGAAGTCATTGCTCATAACGCTCGCTGGGTTAGTCAGGCGTGTTCCCACGCGGCCCAGGGCACAGCGGGGGCTGCTGGCAGTTCACTCAGAGGGGTTTGTGGCCCAAATTGAAATGGGGAGGAGCTGGGAAAGGAGAATCACTCTTTATSCAACCAGGAGAGCACCTTGGCTTCAGTTCATGGCTTCGGTTTATCCCTTCCTGCTGTGTGAGCACATCCCATGGCCAGGAACAAGGCTCTGCAAGGGCAAGGTTTTGTTCAAATGTGGCATTTTTCACTTGTGGATCTTAAAGCAGCTGCACAAGTTGGTTTTCAGAAGAGACTCCTCGATTTTCTTCCAGACTTGTCACATTTGGAGTCCCTCCGTGRGAGTTCCCACACTTCCAGAGAGGAAGAAGGTGATTTCCTCTCTGGGGTGTTTATCAGACAGGGGGATGGATGCCCTGGGGCACAGGGRAGGATTGTCTCCCTTCCTGCTCTGCTCCCACTCTTTCTTTAGTGTCACAGCCTCTCCAGGATCACCCTGTGCCACCAAACCCATGTGTGTGTGCCGTCACCACCGATGAACATGGGACAGACGAACCCCAGGGCTCCCCATTCACGGGCTCCTCCCACAGAGCAGGAACCAGCATCAAAGATTCTCATCTTTTGTGGATTTTTCACATCTCAAGTTCAAAAGATGTTCCCCTTCTGAGGGAATTCCTGTGCTTGAGGCGATGGAAAAACCCACAATGGCACGGGGGAAGCTCGATCAGCGTGTGACGAATGACTTTTGTCACCGTTATTTGTTTTCTGCAATATTGACTCTGACACTCCTCAGGCATAACACAAGGAATCTGTCACCTGAGAGGCCAAATGTAATAATCTTTGCAGGAAGAACTGAGGGGAGCTTTGGGTCTCTCACTTGATATTCCTGAGCAGCACCCAGTGCTGCAGCAGCACCCAAAAGTCACCATTTTATTTGAGTATTAATTTGCCCTGATCYGATTGCTGATGCTAATAGGATTGAGGAGTTTGCCAAATCAAGGAACTTCAATTATATCTGCTAAAAAAAGGAGCGTGTTTTGGTGGTGAAGGATCTTTCTTGATTACRTTTGTTGAGATTTATGTTAGTTCTGGTCAAAAGTGAAGCTACCAATTAAAGATTTTGCTGGTTACTGTCACAGTGGTGGAGTGCAGTGGAATAAAAATGAGATGGAATCTGTTTCTGTCCGGTAACATCAGTAACCACAGTGGGAAGCAAGAGTTTGAGGAATGGAGGAAACTGAGGACTCCCAAAATTAGCTGGACTCCAAAGAATCTAGTCTGAAGCACAATCCTGGTTTAGARACAGTGTTGGAACCTGATTGTAAACATCCCTAATTTGTGGGGCATTTTTGAGGAGCACCTCCAGTTCTGTCCTGAGCTCCACCTGCATCCCAGCCTGCTRCTGATGGAGAGATTTATGGGTCCTAATATTTCTAAACTTCTGCCTGGAGCTCTCAGGACTGTGCTGCCCCAGCATGGTTGGACAATGAGGTGATCAAACACCACAGATTTCCCAGAGGAGCTGTGGCTGCCCCATCCTGGCAGTGTCAAAGCCAGGTGGGATAGGCTTGGAGCACCCTAGGATAGTGRAAAGTGTCCCTGYCCATGGCAGGGGGTTGGAATGAGATGGGCTTRAAGGTCCCTCCCAACCCCAACCATCCTGATGATTTTTTCACAGCTTCATTCCCCAGAAAATTTGCAGCACGTACACCCCGCATCCATTTAGCCAACAATACAAACAGGAGCTCATTTCTATTAACAATCCCCTCATCCCATATTTACTGAGTCCCACAGTCCTTCCAATCTTTCATTTCCCTAGCAAGGAGGGCTGGGGAGGAGCAGCCTCCTCTTGGGAGGTGAAATGTGAGCTCAGGTTTTGCAGGCAGCTCGGCTGAGAGGAAAGGAGACATCGTGGGCTGGCAGCACCGCGCTCCTGCGTCTCGAGGCTCCGGGAGGCTGCACTCACGGTGACACTGTGACAGACTGACACCGGGAACATTTTGTTCACACAGGAGTCTAAATGAGTTCRTACAAGTGATGTGCCTTTCAGTTTCCGTCTCTGCCAGCCACACGTTGTGTTGGAAAATAAAACCTGGAAATGCGGGTGTGAAAATGCATAGCGGGAAATGTGGCGAGCCCAGCTTGGTGGCTGATTGGACAGCTCCTCTTGATTGGGGTTTAAACAATACCTCCTCTCCCGTGGAATTAGTAATTATAATGATCATGATGGTCTTCATCATCATCATCATCATCATCATCATCATCATCAATAAATAACAATAATAAAAAAGTGTTTCAGTAGAGGCAGAAAGTCAAAACGTTTTTAATGCTCCAAGAGGATTTATTGATACAATATTACATCAAATAAAATTTTACAGTTTTACATTATACAAAAGCTAGGGACTGTGGGTTAACTCTGAAATGCGTCTTTTCTCCTAAAGGTCAGCATAAAATCAAGTTCATCCCRGAAATGGTGGGGCCAATCCTGGAAATGACACTGATCCCAGAAACGGAGCTGCGGAAAGCCACCATCCCGATCTTCTTTGACATGATGCAGTGTGAATTCCACTCCACCAGAAGCTTCCAGAGGGTAAGCAGAGAGCTGCAGGCATTTTAACTTGGTGAGGAAGATTTAGCTGTTCTTTTACAAAACAGAAGGATTTTTGTGATTTCTCATTTTTCTAAGGAATAATGTAATTATGGATTTGCTTATTTCCTATAACTCCTGAGGGGCTGCAGGGTTTTCATCTGTCGGTTTGAAATGGTTATTGAAGGAGAAATTTGCATGTAGTAAATGAAACCTTGGGTTGTGGTGCAGGAGTAAAGACAGATGTCTTAAATTGTCACTGTGACTCACACGAAGAGTTTGCTCCTGAGATAAATTGGACATAAAGGAAGCCTGATAATGTGGCAAAAGAATAACCTATAAGGATTTATCATTCTGCTATCTTCTAATTTTGATTTTCCCAACCATTTTATGGATTTTGAAGAGAAAAAAAAACAATCCAGCACTGTCAGTGCTTCTTCTTGATCTACAGGCACTGCAAAATCTCCAATACTAATGGAGAGTTTTTATTCTATTCTGTTTTAAYGTGCTGAGGGGAGCCCTTGAATGCCCACACCCCATCTTACCCTGTTAGCATCAACTTCTGAAAGACAAGCGCAGTGAAAGAAAGTTTCCTGACATTCATTTTACATTGCTTCCCTTGGAAACTTTGCTTATGGATTGAGTTTAAGATCACTTAGGCCGGGTAGGGTTTGGTCTAAGCCAGCAGAGCTCATTCCCACTGTGAAATTTCCGTCAGTTCGGGATATGACCTTGTGAATTTTGCAATAAAGTTTGACATGTGTTGTTTGCTTTGTTCCCTTTATATTGGCAGTTTTCTTTCTTGGATGAAAACCCTCATCCTTTGCCATACTTTCCTTGTGAGCTGCTATTGAGAACCCACTCTTAATAAATCTGTAGGCAGAGTAAATGAAAATCTGCGTGGGGAGACTTAAGCAAGGGAAATGGCATCAGCTTTATTGCTTTGATTTGTTTTGTGCTGGCTGCTGTGTGGAGAGGCTGTGAACTGTATTTTGGCTTCATCCAATTACTGCATAATCATTTTTTTCTTATGCTTGACTCCAGTGCTACTGTAAAGATTGAAATGCTCGCTGGGATGCCATTTCAACAGTTTCCTGTCAGATGTTCCCTTTTGTTGCTTGTCATTTTTTATTTGTACAATTAGATAGGTCGTGAAAAATCCGAGGGTAACTTTATAGCTAAATTTATGGCCCTCTGTTTCCGTGACAGAAGGAAACCAGCTTTGTGTGGAATAGYTGGGTGATTTTAATAAATGAATGTCCTAAATATTTCACTTAGGTTTGGTTTTTTTTTTTTGCTGTTTGAGAAGAAAAATGCTTCATGCTCAAGTCAGAGGTGTCTTGGATTGTACTTGGCATTGTATTTCTTATGGCAGTGTAGCTTCTTTATGTGTGTAGCACTGACAGGAGAAGTGCAGAGGGAACAATCCTCTTTTCCATTGGTTTGAACAGCCAGAATTGACAAGGAATAATCAACCTGTCCAATTTTGGATTTGCAGATAATCCAGTTCTGTAGTTTGCTGAGTGTGTCAGGTGTGTCTTTGGGGAATGAAGATCACAAGCTTGGCAAAAGGAAAGTCAGGGCTGGGTGRGGCCTCTGGAAGTYATGTGGGCTTTAGRCTGGGTTAACTGAGCCAGCTGRAGCTCAGGAGGGGRTATCTCCAGCGAGGGTTATYTGGCCACTTTTCTGGGTGAGCTATTCCAGTGCTTAACCCTGGCCTGTGGAAGGTGTCCYTGCCTGTAGCAGGAGGGTTGGAATGAAATGARCTYCCTTCCAGCCCCAATCATTCCAGGATTCTGTCATTCACACATTTTGCTTTGTATTTCCTGATGGGATTTCCTTGGATCAGCTTATCCCTGGTGTKYTTGTCCTGCCACTGTGCACTTTACAAACCCCCTCTGCTCTCTGAGCCACTTTCAGGTGTTGGAGTGTTTGAGTTGGATTTTCTCTGGGCTGAACGATCCCAATTCCTTCAGCAGTTCTGGGGCCAGGCTCTCCAGCACTCTGCCCATGTTGGGKGCCCTYCTTTGGGCCATCTCCAGTTTGCCARGGTCTCTCTGAGCTGGTGAACCAGAGCTGGACATGGAATTCCATCTATGGTTCAATTGGTCCTGTTCTCCTCTGGTTGTGTCCCTGCTGGTGCAACCCAGGACACATTTAGGCTCCATTGAAGGAGGACACTTTTTTTTTCATGTTCAGCTTGGTAAATTGGCTTTTCCCAATTTACACTTCTCACAAAATACCCCTTCTCACCCTTTGTGCACCTGGAAAAAGCTTCCCTGAGATCTTGCTCCATGATTTTTCCTCAGAAATTAAAGCAGGGCKGCCTGGTCTGTAGATTCCAGGCTCATTTCTTTGCCTTTTGTGTTGTATRTAGTGGTGAAAATGGATATAAATTTCATTTTTTAAATATTACCAGTACCTAGGCAAGCTTGGATGCTTAATGGGTCAGTGTAATGTGCTGCTTTATATCCTTTATATGCAAGTACCAATTATCCTTGTCCAGCTCTGCTTCCAGAGAGAACTTCCAAATGGAATGGTTGGCTGCTGCTGAACCAATCTGCCAGAAATCCAATTATCCAGCCTTATTAGTCGCATCAACAAGGGTTTYGATTGGCTCCACTTCTCCAGCAGATGCATCAAGCTCATGATTTGTGGGGGAGGAATGGCAGGGTTTTGCAGGCCTCTGATGCTGGGATGGTTTGTGTGATAAACAGGCAGCTTTCCCTGTGGTGGTTTTCATTTCAGGAGGAATTGGGTTTGCCTGGTAAAACCAAGAACAGACAGAAGGCTTATTTTTTTCTTTTTTTCTCGCAGTGTATTTAGCCCTGAGAAAAAAACAAGATAAATTCTCCTTGTTTTTACAGAACTATATTAAGGCAGACTGAATTAACAGCTGGAGCTGCTCATTTTTGTCCTCTCCCTCTGAAGGTCTTTGAAGCTTTTATAAGACTTAAAAGTAGCCTGTGCCTCAAAGCAGGAGTCCCATCCTAAAATCAGTGTGGGACTGAAGCTTCCCCTATAGAAGGAAACTCCTCCTTCTGCACTCAGCTTCTCCCTGGGCCGGTTTGGGTAGCRAAGCCTCCGGATCAAAGGGAATTTATCAGAGCCATAGGATCAATAAAAGAGAATTGGTTTGATTGTTCAGGTGAGTGGGATGGATCCCGTGGTGACAGCAGGAGGGAAAGCTGGATGTGGAACAATCCTTCAGCTGGAATGTGGAATTTGGAGCGTGGGAAACTCCTGATGGTGGTGCCTGTTTTGTGGTTCCATTCCTCATTTCCTACCAGCCATTCCTCATTTCATACCAGCACTTTTTGCAGGAATTTCAATTCCCCTTCTCTGGACCTGTGTCACTGCTGAGATCATGTTCTGCTTGGCATGAGTTGAACCCATTTTTACCATTTAACAATAAATCCCAGTATCACCAAGGTGGTCACAGCAGCATTTTGATCTTCACCTGCTGGTTATTGATGAATTTCAAATRGATTTCATTCCCCTTGCTAAGAAGTTTTCCCTAGTTTGTCTGAATCTCTCTTCACTTTTAGAACCTCTAATTCCTTATTAAGTCTTTTTGCCACTTCTGAGCCCMGGGTTAACCTCCCTTTCTCTGTGCTGTGGATCTGCAAACAAAATGCAGATAAATGACTCTCCCAGTTCCTGTGGTCCCACTGAACATGCAAATTCAAATAACTAATCCCCACCAAAGGATTGGTTTTGATAAGTAACATTTTCTAATTAACTACAGTTGAAATGTGTGTAATTTTTTCTTGGTTTCTGGCTTTTTGGAGAATATCAGTATTCCTCGCTCACTTCACCTGGAGAGCAAGGGATAAAGGCARTCCAGTGGCCTCCAGAATGATCCCATCATTTCAAATGGCTCCCAGATCTGTTTGCCAGCTGGAATGCTGTGGGAAAATAGGAAAGGGAATAGAAATTGTTGGGAATTTCAAAGAAACTTTCATAGAAACCTTTGAGAAAAGTTTTGCAGTGCTATTTCTGCATTGGGACTAATTCCTGGTGCTGTGGTCACTTGAATTTTATATAGCAAATTAGCATTACCCCACATCAAAATTGATTTCTGGCARCTTGGAGGGCTGGGAGTCCTCCTCATCTCCAGCAAGATTAACTTGTCAGCCAGGGCTACAAATCCAGCTTTCCTTGAGGTAAACCCACATCCACAAGGGATTAGTTGTGTTGACACGAGATGGCTCWCCCTGATTTACGTGCTCCAGATGGGAGATTGGCACAGACAGAGGAAACCCTGCATGTGCCCTTTGCTTGAGTTCAAACTCTTATCCTAAAGAGGAGCTGAGATCTTGATCAGCTGCGAGGAAAAGTGGATAATGATGTCCTGTAATCTTCTTGGTGTCAATTCAGAGTGTGAATCTGGCTCACGGATGATGCAGAATTCTCCCCTGAGCCTCCAGAATGAGCCTCAGGGAGTGGCACYGGCTCTAATGGAAACATTGGAGATTTGGCACTCCTTCATTTGGGAGTAAATTCCATCACAGTAATTGCAGGCCTGTTTATGCATTAAATTAAATGTAATGCATTTTAAAAAAATAATGCATTAGGGGAGAAGAAAAAGAAAAAGGGAAAAATCGAGTTTATCACGAGATGCCAGGTGCAGTGTCCCAGTGCCATTGGCTTGTGCAGCTCCAGGGTCACATTCCTACCCCCATCATGGGAAATGGGAAACCTCCAAAGCTCCATAAACCTCAGCTTGTGTCGATAAAACCTTCCTCTTTGGARAGACCACAGAAGGAATTTGAGCTGATGTTAAATAACATTTATTCACCTGGCTGCCACGATCTGCATCGCAGCGACTCTGAGAAATATCAGGAATGACTGAAGAGTAAAGATATTGTTAATAATCCCTAAAACCCCCGAAATGCCACAAGGCTGGCTTTGTTCAGCCCAAGAGGCCGTTAGGGAAATGGCCCCACAAAGCGTGGATTTACAGAGATTTAAGTAAAACTGATAGGGGRAAGATCCTCGAGATCCTTCATGGCAAATGTAATCGTTGTTCTCTATCTGAGTAATCTCTTCCTGAAAACATCACCTGAAGGGCTGGGGCTGGCAGCAGGTGTCATTTTTCATGTTGGGTTGCAAAGTCAATTTTTTTTCTGGGCTCATTAGGGAACAGGGTTTTTGTGGCTTCTCTGTTTGATCATTGTGTTGTTTCCATGTTTTACTCAGCGCTCCTGTGCTGTGAGAATGTGTTTGGTTCCAGAGGGGGTGCATTGCATTACCCTGCCTTTGCTTATTTCCCTGTCATTTTTAAAGGGATGGGTTCATTGTATTCACTGTATTCACAGGGAATGGCTGGAGCTGTGTCAGGGAGGTTTAGGTTGGATTTTGGGAAGGGCTCTGCTGTCCCCAGAGGGTGCTGGCACTGCCCAGGCTGCCCAGGGAATGGTCCCAGAGCTCCAGGAGTTTGGACAGCACTGCCAGGGATGCACAGGATGGGGAYTGTTGTGGGGTCTGTGMAGGACCAGGATTTGATGATCCTGTGGGTCCCTTCCAGTTTGGGGTATTTTRTCATCCAGACAGTCCGTTCTTCCTCCGTGGTACATGACGTGCTGTTAATGTCACCTGCAGATGCAAAGCACATCTCCTGACATTTACAGAATGCTGCTGCTCTTTGTTCTTGTGCAGGGGTCCCTTTGTTTCTCCTCGGGGTCCTTAGGGGTGGCTTCAGCAAGAGACAGTGAAAAGACATGGTGACAAGTGTTCTGTCACCGAGCTGCCACTCTGAGCACTGGGCCCCCATTCCCCTGCCACAGSCTCTCAGCTCACCCGGGCTCTCCTGCTGAGGTCTCTGTCTTTAATCCTGTGGATGTCTGTGCTTATTTAATGAAGTATTAGGAATTAGGTGACTAAACCTATTTGTTACCCAGCAGCAGGCCTGGAGTGAGCCTTCCTTCTCTAACAGTTCMCATCCATTACTAGCACCAACAGCTAAAACCCTCTGTAATCGTGAAAAATCCAGGGAATTATCCAGTTTGCTTTTCCAATATATTCTAATGGTCACTTAAATTCGCATTCTTTTATGATCTCCCAAATAAAATCATTCTGGAGTTGTTTGAAACAGCTCCCTTCCTTCTTGCAGGGTTTTTAACAGGTTTATCAGCTGTGTCCCACTGAGAGGCAGTGCTATGTGCCAAAAAAGGGTGTCAGGAATGCTGGGGGTGCATCCCTGCCTCTCTCAGGGACCTTCCAGCATTTTTGTGCTCAGTTCCATCACTGAGCCCATTYTGTGTCTCCTTTTTCCCCACCCTCATTCCCATCATTAACCTCCTCCTTTAGTTTTCCATAATGCAAATATTCACACCTCATTTCCCGACACCACCACCGATTCCTTGAACCAGAGAAATCCTTGTAGGGCAGGAGATCATCACGGGGTGCCCAAAACCAGAGGCTGCCAACTCCCAAAAGTCAATCAAGCTTTAAACCAGGGGCTGAACRCCTCACCGAGGTATCCAACAGATCTGTGAAACGTTGAGGCTGCGGCGATAAAGCGCGAGATTTGCCGGCTGATTATTTCCGCTTGCTTTGTTTAATTACAGTTCGAAAACGAGATCATCACCAAACTGGATCACGAAGTGGAAGGGGGCCGCGGAGACGAGCAGTACAAAGTGCTGTTTGACAAAATGTAAGTGTTGAGAGAGAGCAATTAGGCGACAATGAACTTTGTAGCCCAGAAATAATTAAAATCTGTTAACGATGAGCAATGTTTAAAAGCGCACCTGAGTGGAGGGTTTTCTCGGCGTGTGATTAACGAGGTGGACTTAATTGGTTTTGCAGTCTCTTGGAGCACTGCAGGAAGCACAAGTACCTGGCCAAGAGTGGGGAGACGTTTGTGAAGCTGGTGGTGCGTCTGATGGAGAGGCTGCTGGACTACAGGACCATCATGCACGATGAGAACAAGGAGAACCGCATGAGCTGCACCGTCAACGTGCTGGTGAGCGGGGAGATGGGAAAAATCACAAAAAATAATCACAAAATCGCCACAAAATCAGCAAAAATCATCCCAAAATCACCACCCAATCACCACAAAATTGCCACAAAATTAGCAAAAATCATCACAAAATCACCACCGAATTACCACAAAATCATCATAAAATCAGCAAAAAATCATCACAGAATCACCACAAAATTGCCACAAAATCAGCAAAAATCATCACAAAATCACCACCGAATCACCACAAAATCAGCAAAAATCAGCGCAAAATCACCACCGAATCACTACAAAATCAGAAAAAAATTAACACAAAATCACCACAAAATCAGCAAAAATCACTACGAAATCGGCAAAAATCACTACAAAATCGGCAAAAATCAGCACAAAATCACCACCGAATCACCACAGAATCACTACAAAATCAGAAAAAATGACCACAAAATCACCATCAAGTTACCAAAAATCATCACAAAATCAACACAGAATCACTGTATAGTCAGCCAAAATCACCACTGAATCACCACAAAATCACTACAAAATCACCACAGAATCACTACAAAATCACCATCAAATCACCACAAATCACCACCAAATCACAAAAAACCACCACAAAATCAGCACAAAATCACCACAGAATCACCAAAAAATCACCACTAAATCATCACCAAAAATCACTTCAAAATCAGGAAAAATCACCACAAAATCACCAGAAAATCAACACTAATCACCACCAAATTACTACAATATCACCACAGAATCAGCAAAGAATCACCCAAACCCCMACTGCTCTCTGAATCCTTCACCTTTAACTAAGGCCTTATGTCAGTGTCTGTTGGGATTCTTAGAAAAATTTAAAATGCTTAAGGTTTTTCCTATATTTTTTTCCTGTTTTGTTAACTGTGAATCTCTGAAAATGTATGTTATCACTTCTTTAATTGTTCCTACAGAAAGATTTAAGGAGAAATGTCACAGGGCCTGTTCACTGACATTTACAATTGATGTATAAACAAGTCTGTGCTGAAAAACACTTGACATACAGAATGTTGGAGTTCTGTGCCCTTTCCTCCCAAAATTTCCATGGATTTGCAATTTGTATTCTGCTCTCTGCTCAGCCCCTGTATTCAAATTTTTTGAAGGAATTGGAGTTGCTATTTTGTTCACAGCAGGAAAAGCTTGACTTGTTTTCCTCACTGGTAGGAAATTTCCTTCTCTTAGATGCAGAAATTCTGGAGTGTCCCCTCCATTCCCAAATCTTTGTCCATTTGGGCTGGAGTTGGAAGCAGGAATTGTCCCGATGATGCTCACACCCATTGTGTTCATTAGTGGAGACGGAGAAAATTATATTTTCCAACCCAAAAATCAGCACCATGAAAAATAACTTTCAAAGACCACCAGAATAACATGAACTAAATTTGATTTTTCCAATGGCACCATTTTCCACTGAGGATCCTGAGCTTTCATCCCCAGATCATCATCAAAGCTTTGAATTCACTTAAATAACTGAGGCACAGCCAGTGTTTATCATTTATGCCATTCAGCTGATGGACTTTGTTCAGGAAAGAGCTGAGTAAATAGTTTGCAGCTTTTTTTTTTCACATAATGTGGTTTGTAGCTTTTTTTCTTCGCATTTAACGCGGCCCTGGGCTCGYGCAGCGCAGCCTTTCCGCCGCATCAGCCGTAAACAAAACGGTGCCCACTGGAGCAGGAGAGGAGATGGAGGCATCAAATCCGAAATTGGGCGTTTATTTTTAGTATGTTTTCTCCTCTCCGTGCGCATCAGAATGGTTGGGAAATGGGCAGAGAGGAGGGATTTGGAAAGTTGTCACCGGCTGTCGGGCTGCCCGCAGAAAGGTCAGCGCGTCCTCCCGAGCGGAGCCGGGCTGGGAAGTCCTGCCAGTCCTCCAAGCAGGATGGCAAACAGCAAATCACAGGCACCACACGCTCTGTGTCCAACTGGGAAAATTCCCTGAGGAAGGTGGAGCTGTTTCTCCTTCCCATCCTCGCAGGAATTGTCGCCGGTCCCACAGGGGAGCCGTGGCATGCGCGAGGTTGGGTTTGTTTTCACCCAACAGCATCTCCCATTGCTGGAGTTTGGCATCTGCATTTGTCAGGCGTTTGCAGATGATGAATTTTGTGGGTGATTTGCTGCTGTCAGGTTCAATCACTGTGAGACACCGAGCACGAGCCGGCTGGAGCCGCTGGAGTCCCCGGGAAACGCCGGGAAGTGGCGCAGGGCGGAATTTTCCGTCGCTTTCAGTAGTCGTGATTTAAAAGTTTAGCTTGATTTTACACTCCCGTTTTCCCTCCAGGCCCTGCTCAGCCTTTTCATCGTTCTCCAGGTACCTGAAGTGAAATTCATGCCTTTGCAAAAATCCAACCCACGGCTGAAACTCGGCACAATTCCCACCTGAGGTCTCAAAGAGTTCCTAATTGGGACTTTAATGATGCAGAGGCTTTCCTGGGATTAAGTTTGTCTGCMTTGATGGTGSTTTAACTTGGAGGGTTTGATCTGCACTCAAGCCAGGGCTGATGGRGAAGGGTCTGGAGCCCCAGGAGAGGCTGAGGGAGCTGGAAAGGGGYWCAGCCTGGAGCAAAGGAGGCTCSGGGGGGACCTTGTGGCTCTGCACAACTCCCTGACAGGAGGGGACAGCCGGGGGGGTCGGGCTCTGCTCCAGGGAACAGGGACAGGAGGAGAGGGAACGGCCTCAGGATGGGACAGGGAGGGTTTAGGTTGGATATTTGGGAAAATTCCTTCATGAAAAGGGTTCTCCAGCCCTGTCCCAGCTGCCCAGGGCAGGGGTGCAATCCCCATCCCTTCAGGGATTTGCAATCCATGTGGATGTGGCCCTTGGGGACATGGGGCAGTGGTGGCCTGGGCAGTTTGTTTTCTGTATTGAACCCAAACCCCGTAAACACTTACATCAACTTAAATATCCCTGGAATAACCCATCATGTCTCTGTGAAATGTGCATTCTGTCCCATATTCCAGTCCTCTTTGAAGRGATCAGTTTTGTATTGGATTTATCCTTTTTTTTAGTACTGGCTTTGTGCTCTATTAGTGCCTCCTCAAACTGCTTTAATTTAGCATTGAAATCTAATTCAGTAGAGAAGGAATTTCTTTGTATTTTGTTTTCTTAGKTATATTTCAAATTTTGGAGGCAAACTTGGAATTAGATTCTGAAATGCCTTGAATCTCTCACCCAGTTTATCATATTTTGCATTTACAATATTTGCACTGTTAACTCGTTTATCTCAAGGCGGAGGCACTCCAGGAGAGCGGTGCTAATGTGTGACATATGAAACCAGATAAATAACACCAATCCAACCTTTTATTCCCAAGGAAACTGTTAGAATCCAAAAGCAGACGATGTATTGCTCAAGTAAGATTCAGAGTTCTCAATCCATGGAACAACTGTTGCTTAAAAATTACTATTTTTTGTGTATTAACAAATTTTCAGCTGAAAATGGTTAATGATGTGTGACTTGCAAATGCCAGCAGCAAATTTTGAGCAGTGCTATTCTTGCAAATTCTYAACCTTTGCAGTGAGACACAAACCCTGAAATGCTGCAACATGAAACACCCCAGAGTTCGACTTTCTGAGTGAAATCGCTCGCGTTCCATCACTGGAGGCAAATTTCATTTTGCGGTTTGGAGGCTGATGTTACGCAATGATGAATTTTTAATTTGGAGCGTGTTCTGTGTACTTTCCAAAGTGCGAAATCAAAGACTTTGTAACCAAATTATGTTGTTTTGCAGAATTTCTACAAGGAGATCGAGAGGGAAGAGATGTACATAAGGTTTGTAAACATGACTGGTGACAAACTGCCTGACACGGGCACTGTAATTGGGGGAAATTAAGTTCATATTAARCAGTCACTTGGGGGCTGGAGGAGAAGAGTAATGAAAAATCACACCTTGGCTGAACCTGAAGTAATTCAAAAGCTTATCTGTGCTGAGAGCAGAGTGTTGGCAGTGAAAGTCAGGAGATTATCTCTGTCCCCTTTCTCYGAGTCCTTCAGTTCCATTACAATGAGCACTGAAAGACTCCGGAGCCAGAATTCTTCTGTTCAGGAGGAAAATAAGTAAGGCAAAAGCTGGGCAAAGAAATGATGCTGCCTCCTGGTGAGGTACAAACTCTGTGACTTGGAATAAAAATAACAATTAAATAATGCCTTGACTGGCACTTAACTTTAAATTTAAAGCTTCATAATTGCTTTTCAGACAAAGTAAACATGGAAATCTTGTCCTCTCTATCAAACTCAGGGTTCACAGCCCTCCCCATTGTTCTTGGGCTTAAAATTGGTTAAACCATGAAGTTTCTGTTTGTAATGCTGTTTCAGGTACCCAGATGTTACTCCTTAACTCATTATCAAGTGCTTGTTATCGTTTTGGAAGAATTTTCACCTGGGAACTCCCTTCCTGTTGTTTGAATGGTTTTAATTKGTGTTTTATCAGTTTGCAAAAGGAGAAGGAAATGGCAGAGTTGAGAATTGTGCACAAACACATGATGGTGTTTATTATTATTTGTGTCTGCCCTCTTCAGCACCTCTGTAAAGACAAATTATCTCTCACTGTCCACCCCCCATCCAAATTCTTTATTTCTGTCAACAAACTTAAAATTAATACCAAACTTGAAAGTATTTKCACTGGCTTTTTAAAAATACAATTTTTAATAGTTTTGTGGGGATTTTTAATTTCAGTAAAAAAAAAATCATCAAACAAATGAAGAGAATTCTGGGCCAGAGGTGTGATGATATTGAAGTTAAAGAATGAAACTTATTTATCCATAGCTGAACTAGTAAAGTGCTCTGTCTTACACAAAATCTGTATTGGATTTATTGCTCATCAGAAGTCATTCTTGTGGTGTTCAGTCAGAATGGATTTGATGATCCTGGAGGACATTTCCAGCCTTAAAGATTCCATATTTTTATGAGTGTCCATTGGAAACAGCACAGCAGAAATGCAAATGGTCCTAAAKTTTGTCTGCACACAGAAATAAGGACTTGAAATAATCCCACAAATATTTAGTTGTTCAAGGATAGACTTCAATCATTGTAATCTTCAAAATAAATGATTGATGAACATCTTCAACCCACTCTTACTCAAGAGCTGCTGTTTGTGTTGCTTGCAGGTACCTGTACAAACTGTGTGACCTGCACAAGGAGTGTGATAACTACACCGAAGCTGCCTACACCCTGCTCCTGCACGCCAAGCTCCTCAAGGTAAACCCCAAAAACCATCCTTAAAGCCCACCCCATAATCTCATCCCGTCCCATCCCATCCCATCCCATCCCATGGATCCCATCCCATCCCATCCCATCCCATCCCATCCCATCCCATCCCATGGATCCCATGGATCCCATGGCCATGGATCCCATCCCATGGATCCCATCTCATCCCCCTAACTTTGGGAAATCACAGCAGCAGCCACTCAGGGTGGGGTTTGTCCCTCTGCACATCACTTTGAGCTGATGAACAGCTCTGTTCTGGGTTCTCTGTTGCCCATGGAATTCAGACACCGAGGAAAGCAGCATTCCCTGCGTGGCACAGGTGGATCTTGACCTGGAATGAAGGGAATGTTCTCAAGGCAGCCCCACAGAATCCAAATTGCAGATTTCCAGGGTGTGAAAGCCTCTAAGCACCCATTTCAGTAAATCAGCTCTCCAGATTGTTSGTGCCAAGGAGTGCTGCAGCACCTTCTCGAGTGCTCTTGGGCGTSCGCAATCGATTCAGTTTGGATTGCAGAAAATTGCAGGGAAATTCAAATGCCCTCCTTTCCCAGTTCATGCCTTCAGAAGGTGCATATCATTTTAATGCCGTGTTACAGTTTATAGCACATTTAGAGAGCCACAACAATATTGCTGCTCTTCAAGGAGCCTTTTGGTGTAACCTGCAATATGTACAAATAACATGTTATCTGCAGAAAGGGCCTGAAATAAAGCACTGGAGTGTTTAACACTGTCCACTGCCAGCCAGAATGGAGTGAAGCTGTATTTCAGAGGTGTTAATCTCCCTGAAAACATTCTGGAGAGATGTTGTCTCTTAACCTGCAGCTTTTTTTACGAGCTTGTGTCACGAATGTGGGAGCAGGGACCCAATTTGGTCTCTTGGTTATCATTTAGAACGGTGCTGCTCTTGCCAGCAGACACTGAATGCACCTGAATCATCACTGAATTCCTAAYTTTGTGTTTTAAATTTAAAAAGCAGTTAATAGGAAAAGTAGAAATCTCAGCGTGATAARAATTAGCAGTTTTGGAAACGTTTGCTTTAGTCCTGTTCCAGCTTCCATGTGGCATGGCTTGCACTTGTTAAACAATTTAACATTCTGTAACCTCAGGTTTAGCCTAGAGTTTAGCCAATTATAGATTTTCTTAGAAATGTATTCTGAGAGCAGATGAGGGTCTCACTTCATATCCTTTGGATTCCTGGGAATAACTTCACGGGAAGAAATACCCATTTTTCTTCCCTTCTAATGCAAATCGGTAGAAAACAGCAAAAGCCAGGCTAGGATTTGTCACAGGTTTTCATCCCTGAGTGGATGTTTGTTTATAAATCTAATTTCATTATGGGCTGGAATGACTTGATTATAAAAGTGTAGCAATCTCTATCCCCATTCCTGTTCCTGCAGCCCTCGGTGGAGGGAGGAGTTCAGAGCTGCCTGAGGAGCTGCAATATTGTGGGGTGTGGAACTGAGCAATTGAGTTTCTGTGTCGAGCCTCAGGACAGGAATTTCAATGACACTCATCACTGGCAGATATTTCATCGCTCTGATTTTAATGGGATCACTTYGAGGGCAGGACTGAGAGCGGGTGAGAATTTCACCTTTCAGTCTGCAAGAAGGCTCTGTCTGTGGAGAGAGGGAGGCCAAATTACTGCAAGCTGACGAAGCACACTCGAGAAAAGAGGCTTTTTGTTGTGTTTTCAACCTTTCTTTGTCAAAATTGAGGTGTTCAAAACTAACAGAAGATAGTGGCTCTTAAAAAAAAATGCCATCACGTTGTGGGCTCCGTGAGGTTTGTGTTGCTCAGCAACGCAGAGTTCAGGRCAGAGCTGGCAGAGGTGTCTGCGTGAGCCAAACACAAACATTTTGGCCAAATTAAGAAGTGATTGGGTGAAATGTAATAATATATAGAGGTAAAACTTGGTGATGGCACAGTAATTGTGGAAATGAATCTGAGTTGCCCAGAGAAGYTGTGGCTGCCCCTGGATYYCTGGAAGTGYCCAAGGGCAGGTAGGAGCAGCCTGGGACAGTGGGAGGTGTCCCTGCCATGGCAGGGGTRGATGGGATGAGCTTTAAAGTCCTTTCCAACCCAAACCATTCCCTGATCCCRTGATTGACATTTCCYCTTGCTCCATCAGGCATTTGCTSYAAGAGCCAGAGCTGGAGAAAGTTCATTGAGAGCTTTCCTTCCTCCAGAGGTTCCCTGAGAGTCTGAGCCCTCTTATCTCCTCACCTACAGCCCTCTCCCCTCTCTGTTGGTTCTGAGGCTCCTCTCCACACAAAAGGAGGGTTCCCTGTGTCCCCTGCAGGCTGAGGTCACTCTCATCAAGCTCAGGAAGGAGGAGAGGCCATCTCCAGGAGCCTCCTGGCAGCTGATGGGTGTAATTCTTTGTCAAAATTGAGGTGTTCAAAACTAACAGAAGATAGTGGCTCTTAAAAAAAATGCCATCACGTTGTGGGCTTCGTGAGGTTTGTGTTGCTCAGCATCCAATTACAGCAGCCAGATAAAGGAAACAGGGCACAGCTGTGAAAAACCCCTTTGTTGGTGCYTTAACTGCAGTATCACTCCTTTAAATAAAAYCCCTCTTATTTCACWTCATAACTTCAGATTTGCTTTCYCTTTTTTCCYTTTTTTGTGTGATTTAGTGGTCAGAAGAAGCGTGTGCAGCGCATCTCACCCAGCGGGATGGATACCAAGCTGCTACCCAAGGACAGCTGAAAGATCAGCTCTATCAAGAAATTATCCATTACTTTGACAAGGGCAAGGTAAAAAGGGAAAGGAAAAAAAAAGTGCAAATGCATTTCATGGCTTTTCTCTCYGACTTATAAATTTAATGGTAAACATTGTTTGCATCCGGTGACCTTCGGGAAGCACTTACAGATAATGATACTGCCCAAAAAAARKWMAAAAAAAATCAATGGGACATTTATAACTGCTGGGTAAGGGGGGATATATGGGCATGTGATGCCATGGAGTAAATAAAAAAAGTGATGCATGTAATTTGGAGGGCTTTTTCTGGCAGTTRCAAGAGCTAATGGAATCCTTCAGCTCCCCTTGTTCTGTCTCATGTACACAAAAATAATTCCCTCAGGGCCTGGATGTCTTTGGTTCGTATCATAAATATYCTGAAATGAGGATATGTCGTGACAATCACATCTTTTAATGCAGGAGGAGTTTGCATTTGGCACTGCAGGGTGRGGAGAGCCCTGCTGTTGGAGAGGAAGGGGTTACCCTGTGGGTGGATCAGAGTTTGGGTATTTTGTGCACGAAATATTCGAGTGTAGAAGTAGGAATCTCTGTGTCAGAACATTGCAGAAATGAGAACTTGTGTTTTAAAAATAAACTCTGTAGAGTAGGGCAAAAGAAATGGTGTTTTCTGGTAGAGCTAGAATATTATCCAGCCATCCTTTCCAGGTGAGTTAATGGCAGAATCAGATTAGTACTTTCTTAAAATCTTAGTTTCTATCAAATTGATGCTATGATTTCTCACATTTTGATAGAAACTTTGCCTGAAAAGTCAAATTTTATAAACGAGTGCAATATTTGAAAGTTGCTAATGAGTGATGCTAAAAATCATCATTCTGGACTGGGATAAAAGTCATAAAAATAGAATTCTAGAGTGGAGCACAAGTGGCTGTTTGGGGCTGGGGCTGGTGGAGGTGACTTGGGGACAGAACTGGTTCTCACTGCTCAAAAAGCTTTTTTTRGGTGAATGAGGAGGATCTCATTTGAATGAGGGTCACAGCTGATTTCAAAGTGTGTTTTAATCCTTTATTCCTCTCTGGAAGGAAAGCCTGTTTGTATTTGGTTGGTTTATGGTTTTATGGCTTCTCGTGAGTCCTTTGTGGTGTCCAGGCATTGGGAATTGTTGTGCAGAGCTCAGGTCCCAGGGCTCCTGTGGGATTTTTGTGTGTGTGAGGAGATGATTCATTTCCAAAGCACTCATTCTGCTTACAGATATTCCTTCTCCCATTTTCTGGTCACTCGGGTCGGTGATAATTTTTCAGATCATTCTATGAAAAGGGAAATAACAAAATCAATACACACTGAGAATGTTCATCTTGGGTGAATTTGCAAATGTCAGGAAGCTCCAAGTGGAGRTTCCCAGTGCACACTGAAGGTAATCCTCTCATTTGGGATTTTCTGGCTTGAAGTTCAATCAGCTTCTTGCATTCCTTGCAGTTTGCAAATGCAGCCCAGCAGCTGCTCACTATGGGCAGTAACACCTGAAACAGCWTTTGCTGGGCATTTTTGGGAGACTGAACCTGTGCCAAATCCCTCTTTTTTAGGGCCAGGATCACCCAGCCTGGCACTTCACTCTGTAATGATCCCCCTTGTTTGATTTCTCTTCTGGTGAAGTTAACAGGAGGTGTCCAGAGAAGGTCACTCACCCCTGGACAGCTGCACAGCCACTTCCAGGATTTTGCAGAAGCTCAGGAGTTTTGTTTTCAAGAGTTCAGACTGTGCCTTTCCCACCCCAGCCTGATGGGGAGCTGTGGATTTGGGAAGAGAGGGAAACATGGGGTTGGAAACCTTATATAGAAGAAATAGAGGAGAGGGATTTCCTAAAATTTGGGTTAAAAATCAGCTTTTTGGTTTTTGAAGGCTGGTGCAGTTCAGCCTCTCAAAAATCCCTTTCACTTGGCAGCGCAATTTCCCAGGGGAGTGCACAGTGCACTTGTCTGTTGGAGGCCAACCATCCCTCAAATATTGGCATTCCTGGGGAGGGGAATTTGGATTTAATRCCCCATACACAGACTGGAATGGAGTGAACATCTCACTTCTGTCCCGAGAGATTTGGGATTGAATGAAAGGGAACGTGGGCTTGCACTGAAGGGAGGAGAGTGGCACCTCRTGTGGGCTGAGAACAAAACCTGGCCCTCACCACGAGCATCCCTGGCACTTGTGGTTCAAGATGTTTTTAAGATTCCTCATTTTGATTTTGATTTTCAATCTATTATTCTTGAGAAGTTTGCTTTTTTTACCTGTATTTGACTTTTGCTCCTTAAACCAGCCTTCTAAAAGCTGAAGTACAGCTTTCACCCATTTTTGAAAAACAACTTTTTCACTTTGCAGTTGTGCTCCTTTATGGATTTGATTCCTGCTTGGTAATGCTCTTCATTCCTTTTCTAAGCTCCTTCTTTCTAAGAGGAAAGTTGTTTCCTTGGCATAGGCATCCTTTTTTCTCCCGGATTATTCTTCTTCATTGCACTTCACTTTCCAGTCTCCTCTCCATCTCGCTTGGCTTTTGCCCTTAAAATCCTTATCCCCAGGCTTATCCCAGCAGTCTGACCCATCCTTTGAACTGCTCTCAAGTGTTTGCTCTCCCCGTGTTTTCCTGAAGCTTTGTGATTTCCAACAAAGCCTTTAATCCAGGGACTTTACTGCAAAGGCTTGGGTTGGAATATCCCGAGGCGAGAAGGGAAAACAGTGCCAGGAGTGCAGGGATGAGGGAAGGGGTGACATTTTCCTTGAGGGAAGCAGCTGATGGAGGTCAGGACTAATAAAATGAAGCCCAGGAATGCTCCTTGGCAAAGATCAGGGTTTTTTAAACCCAGGTTTGTGTGGTGTCTGGAACCAAAGGGAAGCAGCAGCGTTCCCATTCCTGCCCGGTGAAATGTGGGAGTAGTGATGGGCTCAGGTTTGCTGCTGGTGCTGCTGCCCATCAATCAGGACAGGTTTTCCTCTGCTCCTCCATAAATTCAAAGTGTTGGTTCCAAGGAGAAAAAAGTAAATAAATGCACAGTGCTCATTCATTTCTGCTCCTCCTTCCTCTCCTCCTCCTCCAAAAAAAAGCTTTTACTGCTTTACTGCAGCCACAGAAGAGAAAATATCTGAAATTAGACAGCAAATGCCACGCTTTGGCTTAAAAGGCCTTTTTTTCCGGCTCATGGGATGACATCAAATGGCTTTTTCTTCCATCTARCAAGAGAGTGGTGAAATTCACCTGTCTGCCAAAAATCTGTGTGAGGCTGGTGGCCAGCAGAGCCTGGAGTGTGTCCTGAGAGCTGGGAAGGACAGAGAGTCTGGGGAGAGGGAGGATCCGAGGCTGAGCGGGTTCCAAATGAATGCAGTTATTGCTTTACAGGCTTCCCATCCTGCCTGCACCTTGACTGCAGGACTAACAACAGAGAAATGCTCTGCTTCAGCCTTTTATTTAAAATATTGAGCTTTTCTGTTGGTTAATTAACTCCACCTGAAATTTAACCAGCTTAGAGCGTCCCTCACGAGTCCGAATGTGGCTCGATAATATTCTTATCCCAGATATTTCACTGCTCCTGACCATTAGCTCTGCAGGAGCTCAGAAATACCCTGAGATCCTCCTTTGCTGCTATTAACCTCAAAAACTAAATTGGATGCTGTAGTTCTTTGTGACCAACAAGCAATCCAGCTTCAAAAAATAAATTAAATCGCTGGGTTTTCCCTAAAAATGATCTCCTGCAACTTTGAAATCGTGCCTGTAACAATTTGCAGTTCATGGCTAYACAACTAAATTTAGGCCCAGCACATTTTTCTTACTCCTTGAGTACAAAAGAAGCATTTTCCTTCCACTACCACTGGCCTCTCTCGCTGGTACCCTCTCCAGATAAATTGTTTCTCCCATTAATGAGTTGTAGCTKGTACAAATCCTGTGTAGTAGCTCCCTGTACGACTCATTTCTCCAGAAGACTTGCCATGTCCTGGGAAAAGCTGGGAAAGCTTCCAAGGCAGGAAATCTGCGAGGCAGCAGATTGGGAGTTATTGACCTTCAAGAATATAGATTTCATTTCTCAGGGTCCTGGGCCCCAGCCGGGCTGTCCTCGCTGGAATAAATTGGCTGTGGAGTAAACAGCTGAGTGTTTCAGAGGGTTGGGGATGCACAGTCCCTGTTTTTTGGAGGATGTTGGAAAAATCATTGGCTTTGTGTTGGTTTTGTGTCATGTTGGAGGTGTTGTGATGCAGCCAMACAAGGGAAGAGCCAGGTGGTTCAGGAAACAGCCTTGAGCTGCACCAGGGGAGGTTTAGGAAAAATTTMTTYGTGGAAAGGGCTGTCAAACATTGGGACAGGCTGCCAGGGCAGGTGTGSGGTCATCATCYGTGRAAGTGTTCAGAAAATGTGTGGATGTGGCACAAATCTAAGCATTTTTAGAGTAAAATCAGGGATGGATGGGATTTTGGGCAGGAATTGTTCCCTGTAGGGTGGGCAGCCCTGGCACAGGGTGCCCAGAGAAGCTGTGGCTGCCCCTGGATCCCTTTGAGTGCCCAAGGCCAGGCTGGACATTGGGGCTGGGAGCAGCCTGGGACAGTGGGAGGTGTCCCTGCCATGGCTGGGGTGGCACTGGGTGGGATTTAAGGTCCCTCCAACCCAAACCAGTTTGGGATTCTGGAATTCCATGGTCTGCCTTCCTCCTGTTCATCTCCACTTCTTCACTAGGAAGAGCATAAGGATTATGTGATTACTGGCTGTGTGTTGTACATGAACTAAATCTGGATCACATTTAATTTGAGGATTCATTTTTCAGGCTCTGGAACATTTACAGAATCCATTATTAATATTAATATTTAGTAACATCAGAAGGCTTTGTTCAGGCCAGAGGAGGTGCAGCAGAAGCAGCCTCCGCTCCGGTGTGTTTGTGGCATMGACAGGCAAGGGTGGGAAGGTGAAAGAAAAAAAAATCAGAGGAGATTTAATTCTGCTGAAGTTGTTGTTTAATCAGAGGCAGCGCTGTGCTGCCAATTGGCCTTGGTGTGCAGGCTCTGCAGGGTCACTGAGTGGATGGGGATGGACAGGACCTTCCAAGGTCACTGTGTCCAACCCCTGTCACCAGCAAGGGTGTCTGTCAAGGACCAGGGTGCTCAAAGCCCATCCAGGGCCACCCCCTGCCATGGCAGGGACACCTTCCACTGTCCCAGGCTGCTCCAAGTGCCATCCAGCCTGGCCTTGGGCACTGCCAGGGATCCAGGGGCAGCCACAGTTTCTCTGGGCACCCTGTGCCAGGGATCTCCATCCTCCCAGGAACAATTCCTGCCCAAAATCCCATCTAAACCTCCCCACTTTCAACTTAAATCTACTCCCCCTTGTCCTGTCCCTGCATCCTTTGTCCGCAATCTCTCTGCAGCTCTCCTGGAGCCTCTTTGGAAGGACCAAGTAAGTTTATTTACAGGTTGATGCAAATCTTAAATGATTCAGACTCCCATTTATTTCCAGTCTCATTCAGCTCCATTTGCCTGAAATCAGCTATCAGGTTCGATATTAGAAARAATTCTTCACTGTAAGGGTGATCAGACCCTGGAATTGTCTGCCCAGGGAGGTGGTGGAGTCRCRGTCCCTGAATGTGTTTAAAATGACTGGATGTGGCACTCWRTGCCATGGTTTATTTGATGAGGAGGTGTTGGRTCATGGGCTGCATTTAATGACCTTGAAGGTCYCTTCCAGCCTGGTTCATTCAGTGATTCTGTGTGATRAATATTTTCATCTCCCAARAGAGAGCAKAAGGGGTTTGGGTTTGGAGAGGGACTGGTTAAATGTGGAYCACACAAACAGGAGCCAGGACAAGGGAGATGATGGTCACACCATTGTCTTTGAGATGAAAATGTGCAGAAGTTATGGATGACTGAAGTTCAAAAGAGAACGGCACTCAAAATGAGGAAAGGTTAAGTGACTTTGAAAGCTTTCCTTTGCTGACTTACCAAACACCTGRATATTTGTTCAGTTCCTATAAATTGGTGCTGTTTTGCCCTTCTGAATCAAAATGAACTCAACTTGGTGTGCGAAAATATCCTCCTTTTTCTGCAACCATGCCTTCACTCTTAAATTCATGTTAATTTTTGTTTAGAAATAAAAACATGCTCYGTATCATCATGCTAGATTAGATCCATAATATGGATAAAAACATTCAGATCCTTCCACTTGCAAAAATTGCGTCGCGGAGCGTTCAGGCTGCCTTGTAATTTCCTGCAGACGTGATCCCTCATTAGCGTGATTGTAATTAGTCCTTGGGATGCGTTCTTCACCTTCAAGGCACTTCACAAACACGAGGCAGCTCATGCTCATTCCAGTGCTCTTCCCTGGATAAATAACATGCTGAACCTTGTTGGAGAAATAAGGAAAATCGGGAGGAGGGGTCCAACAAACACCACGTGGAGCTGCAAAGGGGAGGTTAATGAAGAACCAGGTTCTGCTCTTTGTGAGCGTTCATCACCTTTTTGGCTTAAATTAGGTCACACTTTGCCCAAACATCAGCCCAGGTGTTTTTTTTCAGTTCATCCCTCCACTTGAAAATTGTCCCTTTGTTTCCAAAGAGGAGCAGGGATGGAGAGCGAACCAGTGAGACCCATCTTGCTTTTGTGACATTGGCATGTTCCATGTGAAAAGATGCTGAGGATTCATCCTGAATATTTTATTCTTTTTTAAATCAGCATCTAGAACCAGGCATTTTTCTCAAAGTCTTATTGATTCTGAGTTTTCCATATGTAGTAGGAAATGCAATTTCARCTTAGATCAAAAAGACAAATGGAATTCACCTGATGTTGATTTTGGGGCTATGAGTGATGGGATTTCATTTGTATTGTGTGGGGGGCTTTTGGGATGTTATATAATATATCTTATTATTTGCACAGTGCTCTGAAGCAGATGGGGTTGGGGGATTTTTWGGGGATGGATGCAGGGTTCAGTTGTTRTGAAGRTTTCTCCAGGTCACATTTCCTCTTYTCTYCCCACCATCTTTGGAAKTTGTGGTGGTTCCTCTCAAACWCYTCCTTCTCAAAGGTGGATGAYTTTTGAGGACAAATGGGGAATTGTGAGTTCAGCCCTTCCCTCCAGCCCTCCCTCATCCACCTGCCCTTGTCTGCTCCGTCCCCCTCAGGATTCCACCAAGACAAGGAACGTGTGTCCTGGAGCTCAGAGGGGAATGAGATGGTGGGGAAAGACAGAGGATTTAAATTTCAGATGAAGGCTAATACAATCTGCATTTCTTACTCATTCTGAATCTCATTTTTATAATAAAGTGAGGTCAGTAATGCCAACCAAATTTCAGCGGCAGAGGCAGATCATCAAGTTTGATCTTAGATAGCCTGGTGTGCTAATTTAAACATATTTTTGGGTTTCGGTGGTTCTTTCTCTTCGGAGTAGAAAAAACAAATGAAAAATGCACATTTAAAACCATTCTTGCTGCTCCTCATTAAGAGTGTTGCCTTCTGAAGAGCTGAAGGATATTGTTAAATTTCTTTGGGTCACTTGAGACGGCTGCTGAATTTCATGGTTGAGGAACGAGAGGAAGAGGAACCAATGGCAATATAATGAGTATTTGTTCAAAGCAATATCTGCAAATTGCCTGTCCTGTCTAATATAGATTATAGATATTAGAGGGAGGGAGAGGTGATTATGAAATATAATCAATCACCAGCCTTGCTCCAAAGCCTCAGATCCCGGCCTTCTTTGTGGACAGGCTGTGTTTACACATCACCGGAGGGGCTGTCAGGAATCATTTTGCTTCTGAAGCAATTTGATCATTTGGCTTGATTTGCATCCAGTGAATTTGCATCCCGTACCAGGGAAGGTCGTGGAGCAGATCACCTTGAGTGCCACTGAGCCAAGGAGGCYRATGGCACCTGGGTTRTAKTGAAGAGYTGTGGCAGCAGGACCATCCCATGTTAAATGTTGGGCCCCTCAATGATAAAAAAATCCTGGAGGGGCTGGAATGTGTCCATGGAAGGGTCTGGAGCCCCAGGAGAGGCTGAGGGAGCTGGAAAGCAGCTCATCCTGGAGCAAAGGAGGCTCTGGGGGGACCTTGTGGCTCTGCACAACTCCCTGACAGGAGGGGACAGCCGGGGGGGTCGGGCTCTGCTCCAGGGAACAGGGACAGGAGGAGAGGGAACGGCCTCAGGATGGGACAGGGCAGGTTTAGGTTGGATTTTAGGGAAAATTTCCTCATGGAAAGGGTTCTCCAGCCCTGTCCCAGCTGCCCAGGGCAGGGGTGCARTCCCCATCCCTGCAGGGATTTCACAGCCCTGTGGATGTGGCCCTTGGGGACACGGGGCAGTGCTGGGGATGGTTGGACTCGATAAACTCAGAGGGCTTTTCCAGCCTGAACAATTCCATGATTCCATTAATAGAGACATTTACAGCCCCAGCACGGCTCTTTGGCACGTCGGATGCTCAGCGTTTCAGGCATGTGCCACAATGCATTTTGTTGCTTTATTCCGATTTATTTGATTCTAATGTTGATCTTGAACCAAGGTACGTAATTCAGCTTCTTTGTTGTTGTTTTGTGATTCTTTCTCCAACAGATGTGGGAAGAGGCCATTGCCTTGGGTAAAGAACTTGCAGAGCAGTATGAAAATGAAATGTTTGATTATGAACAACTCAGTGAACTGCTGGTAGGTTTTTTTTAATGACATAGACACTGCAATAATTTATTTTGGAGCTGAATTTCTAAGCCTGTAAAATTATATCAGAAATACTCTGAAATTGTRAAATTATTATCAGAAATAATTTATTGTTATGACAGTAAAATGGAGAAGCACATCCCTATCTTGGCTTTGTTGGACCAGTGTCAATTAACTGGCTACCACTGGAGTGCCTGAAAAACATTTAATTTTTTTTTTTTTTTCAGCTGAAAGAAAAACATCTCGGTAATGTTTGGTTTATTTGGGGTATAAAAGGAAATTTTGAATTTAAATATAAATGGGAACACAAAAAAAAATCCCTATTCTCTCAAGTGTCTTTCCATATTCACGTTTCTTTTTTTAGGTATGAATAATCCCCAAGCATTCACGTCTGCAGTCAGTTATTTTTGCCCTGACGTTACCCATTCATTATTCCTGCACTGTTTTCTTCCTCCTGTTCTTTTCCAAAGAGATAAATGGCAGCTGTCCCTGTTCCTCCTCAGGTCCCAACCACCTCCACTGGAGTTGGGATGTGATTCCAGTTTGATTTTGAAAATTCTCAACTTTCAGCTTTTAGGTACTTTTCACTTTTGCACTGAGAGTGCATTTTCCTGAATTTCTTTGAATTGTTTTTCTGCTCAGAATACATTTTCCTGAATTTCTTTGGATAGTTTCTCTATTTTTTTTATCCCAGTGTGTCTGAGCTGGGTGTTCCTACGGTGTTGAACTCAGCTCCACACAGCCCCAGCTCACTCCTGGTGGGATGGGGAGAGACTGTTCCTCATTTCAGTATAAAAGGAATTGGGTAGAGCTTGTTCCTCAGCTGGAGATGATTGTCATGTGTCAGACAGGATTATTCACTAGGGGGTGACTGCTCTCTGAGTTTTAATTTTCCATCTCCTTTTTCCTTGCACACAGGAGCATGAATGGGTTTGTCACAGCAGCAGCCACTCTTTAATTATCCTCTTGTATCCTTTATGGAGGAGAAGTCGGAATTTGCACTTTATTCATTGTRGCCCATGGTGACAGAGTGATTAAATTGTGTTGCAAGGGACTTTAAAGCCCATCCAGAGCCACCCACTTGGCCRTGGGCAGGGACACTTCACAGACCAGGGTGCTCCAAGCCCCATCCAGCCTGGCCTTGGACACTTCCATGGAGYTTCTCCCTCTTCTAAGAAGGGAGAAGCAGAACTTGCAACCCTCACATCAGACAATTGAGTTTATCTGCTCTTTACTCATCAGCCAGGAGATGAGATGTCCCAGAATTAGTCCTGGYGTGCATTTCCCTCACAAGGCAGAGATCAGAATTCACGCTCCCGTATGAGTCAGGTCTCACATACCCCATCAGCTTTTCTTATTGCTGCTGCTGAACAGCTCTTTTTTTTTTTTTTCTCCACACAATAAAATTTACAAGTTTTTTGTTCTTTCTGTTCTCCCTCTTGTCTCTTTTCTTCAAGCAATATTAAATATTAGCCTCTGAGACAGTTCACAAATGACAAAATAGTTCTGCTGCAGACRAGCTGAGAAATATTCGGCAGATTTGGGTCTTTGTAGTCTTGGTGCCATTTGCTGTTATCTGTCATGTGGGAGCAGCAATAAACCTCTCCCCAGATCAAAAGTCATTGTCTTTGCAGAAATAATAGACTAAAAATAAGTTAATGAACAGATCTTCTGAAGCTGCTCATTTGCTATTATTTCATCATTAGAGATAAAGAAGAATTCAGCATYGAAAGCAGATGGTGTCTGACATGCGTGGATTTATTCCCAAATTTACATTTTCCTGCAATTCTCAACTGCCTGCTTTCCATATGCAAATTTGTGGTTGTAAATATGGAAGAGAAGTAGTAGAAAAATGCAATGAGATGTAACAGCCCCAAACTGACAATTCAGCACCACTGGGATGAGCTCTGTGTGGCTTCATCCTTCTGGTGTTTTGGCATTGGGAGTTTTGCGACTGGGAATTCAGATTGGCTCTCAAATTCCTGACCATCATTGTGAGTGAAATGTTGGCTGTGGAGCAGGGAGGTTCACCAAGATGAGGTTCATCAAAATTGAGATATTGGATGTGGAGCAGTGAGGCTTCTCAAAATTGAGATATTGGATGTAGAGTGGTGAGGTTCACCATGATGAGGTTCATCRAAATTGAGATACTGGATGTGGAGCAGGGAGGTTTACAAGATGAGGTTCATCAAAATTGTGATATTGAATGTAGAGCAGTGAGGTTCATCAAAATTGAGATATTAGATGTGGAGCAATGAGGTTCACCATGATGAGGTTCATCAAAAGTGAGATATTGGTTATAGAATAGGAAGTTCATGAAGATGAGGTTCATCAAAATTGAGATATTGGTTATGGAATAATGAAGTTCACGAAGATGAGGCTCATCAAAAGTGAGATRTTGGTTATGGAACAGTGAGTTTCACCATGATGAGGTTCATTAAAAGTKAGATATTCCTTAGGGAACAGTCAGATTCACCAAGATGAGTGTGAAAATAGYGACTGCAGAGTGTGGTATTTCCAGATATTGCCATGTGCCTGATGGAAAGGTGAGGAGAGAGAGGGCARTGAAACATCTTTAATTTTGAGATGCACACAGAAGATCTTGCATATAAGGAATCTCCTTCAAGTTCAGGTAATTAAAATCCCTCCTGTTACTTTTGCAGAGAAAACAAGCCCAGTTCTATGAAAACATCGTGAAAGTGATAAGACCAAAGCCAGACTATTTTGCTGTTGGGTATTACGGCCAGGGATTCCCGACGTTCATAAGGGTAAGTGTCCATCTGTTTTTACAGAGGTTTCTTGCTCTGGAAATTTTCTYTGGCTTGGAGAAATGTGCCTGACACTGACAGGTGTTTTTCCGGGGTGTAAAACAAACACTGATTTTTTCCTTTCCAGTTTCTAAGATTGAACAGTGGAATTTTAGTAGAGAAACTTTCTCTTTCAACATATCCAGTACCTTCTATTTCTTCAGGGTATCATGAGAAATGAAAATAAATGACCCAGTCCATCACTCAGGGTCATAACCATCTGAAATGGTGACATTTTTGCCTGACAGGTTAATATATATTTATATATAAAAAAGATATATATATATATATATGAGCATGGTAGAAAAGCCTTTTGTATGTGACGGTGTTTTCAAGTGAATGTCCTTTCAGCATTGTCACCAAAATGAAGTTTACTATCAAAGGTGTGTGTGGCACCTTTAATAGCAATTTTTTATCATTGATCTTCAATTTAAGACATGTCACTGGGTGGGTGCCAGCATCGTAGCTTTACTGACATTTTAAGGRTTTCTTTTCACTGATATTAGGATTTTTATGGGTTGAATAGAGAGGCTGAATTACATCTGTGTTATSATTATCTGGTACTTAGTTGGTGACACGGAAATGAGCCATTAATTCTTGTTCACTTCCCTGGGTATCCTGTGCTGTGGCCTCATCACCCTCCCAGGAATTCATTCCTTCCCAATATCCYATCCAACCCTGCCCTCTGAAAACCGGGCTCTGAAGTTTTTTGCTGATGGAGAAAATCCTCAACACAGGCTTTTCCTTCAATTCCAATATTCCCTGTGAATTATGTGTGTACATGCATAAATTAGARACTTCTTAGCCATCTGTTATCACCTTTTTTCCCCCAAACAGAGAGGTTTCTTTCCTCTGTTGACCATTTCAAAAGGCCCCATTGCAGAATTAAACCCAACCAGGCAAATGTGAACCACTCCAGGTTCCTATCCCCAGTCAAAACACCCGTTTTTAATAAGAGCTGTATAATTTTYCCACCAAGTATTCATTTGGAGATGAGTAATGAGGTTAAGCATATTCAGATGCAAATTTTATCCAAACTTGCTTTAATTTGTTTGATCAGTTAAAAATATGCAAGTTGTCTTTTACATTTTCCTTTAGAATTTAATGAACTCAGCCTAGAAATGGACTGTATAAAATATATCTTAATTTTCTTTATTGGCAAAGAAGAAACCAATACTTACAATATACTTAATTTTAAAGTTATGAAAAGTTTGAACTTTACAATGGCAAAAATCGGATGGATTAGTGTGAGGTTTTTTTTTATAAGAGGTTTTTTTTTTTATTTTTGGATATTCCTCCTCAAACCTGCATTGTTTTATGTTCCTGTTTTTCTCTGCTACTCTTTGCTCACCTGAGCGCCTTTGAAGAAATATTTATGTGTAAAAACCCTAATTCTGTTTATTTGTTGGCATCCATTCCATCATTAACTGTGGGAGGTGGAGGAGACATCTTGGCTTTGGTAATAATTTCTCTTAATAAATTTTCAATGGCCACGACGTTGCAGATCCTTCAAATCACSTATTGAGGTGATTTTAGTGTGGTTTATACAAACACCTAAAAGTAAACGTGGGCTTTGTGATCCCAGCACTGAGCTGGAGGTGAGAAAACCAATTTGTGCTTTAYTGAATTGCCAGAAAATATTGGTAAAGTATTGATTGGACCGCAGTGCAAAGAGTGTGAGATTCTTTGCTTTGGCATCAGCGCTTCTGAGGCCCCAGTTGGGCACTGGGAACACTGGTTTTAACTGGGAATGCCTCTGCTTGCAGAACAAGGTGTTCATCTACCGGGGCAAGGAGTACGAGCGCCGCGAGGATTTCGAGGCGCGGCTGCTGACGCAGTTCCCCAACGCTGAGAAGATGAAAACAACGTCACCACCGGGCGAGGACATCAAAACCTCCTCTGGCCAGTGTATCCTTGGGCTGTAAAACCAGTACCACCAGTGCCCCCAGCAGCTCAGCTCAAGGGTTTGTGGCCAACGTGGGTGGAACACACAAATCTTGTTGTTTTGTCCTTTTTTTTTTTTGAGTGTTCCTGTTGAGCTGCTCGTCCCGCGTGACTGAAATTCCCTTTTTGCTTCTTAACCCCTGAAATTCAGATATTCAGTGCTTCACTGTAAAACCCAAACTGGATTTACCCTCGAAGTTTCACAGGCCAGTGTCAGAGCAGATCGTGAGGTGAGTTTGGGGTGGATTTTCTCATTTTCTCTGTCCCCTTTATATCACATTATTGTTGTGTAATGAACCTGTGCACAGCCAGTGGGGGTGGGCATTGTGGGGGCATTTAATGGTGATTTTTAATATTGGCAGGAATTCCCTCCAACCCACTGGAGAACAGTRATCCCATATTTGTTCCTAAACTTTCTGTAACACTAGAATTTAACAGCAATTCCTAACCAGGCAGTTTTTTTATTTCCATAGTGCTTTTGGAGTTTGAATTGCATCATCTTAGAGGTCACTTCCAACCCAATTCARTTTGTGATTTCATGATTCTTTCCCCTTTTTTTCAGTTTCTACAGGGTGAACGAAGTCCAACGCTTTGAGTATTCGCGTCCCGTTCGAAAAGGAGAGAAAAACCCAGACAATGAATTTGCAGTAAGAAATTAAAACAAAAATAGACCATTTTGGGTCTGTTTGTTTATCACCCTCTGTTTTTGAGAATCTGAGCCATTCATTATCTTTTGGTTGTTGTGAAATAAATTCTAGGTTWAAAGTGATTATTTTTCATAGAAAGTTAATTAAGCCAATTTATCATGTTCTGGTTTATACGAGAAAAAAAACAGGAAAAAAAGGGATAAATTGTATTTATTTTGTAAAAACAGGTCTTCTGAGGAAAGGATTTTAAATTGTTACGCCTGAAACAGCAGCTGTCTCTTGCCAAATCTTGTCTTGCCATGAAGATTCCAGTCAGGCATCTGAAAACCATTTTTCACTGATACTTTTGCTTCTTTTTTTTTTCTTTTTTACTGAACCATTTTTGGTTGACCATCTAATGGTCAATAGAATTCCTTCTGTGGGAGGGTGGGCAGCCCTGGCACAGGGTGCCCAGAGAAGCTGTGGCTGCCCCTGGATCCCTTTGAGTGCCCAAGGCCAGGCTGGACATTGGGACAGTGGGAGGTGTCCCTGCCATGGAACTGAATGAGCTTTAAAGTCCCTTCCAGTCCAAACCAGTTTGGGATTTCATGAACAACTGCAGTCCAGTAAAACSTGGAATCATTCCCATGGCATTCTCCTTCAGGAAGGCAGCAGCTGTTCCCTGCTGAGTCCCAGATCAGGTTTAAATCAGTGCTGCTCCCTTTTCCATTTGGAATTCCCCTCTGCCTTTGTCCCATCTGTCCCACCTTGGTCCCTTGTCCTGGTGAGGGTTTTTTAGGGCTTTGCTCAGGATCACAGCTGTCCATGGATAACATGACACTTGTGTTCCCTTTGCAGAACATGTGGATTGAGAGAACCGTCTACGTGACAGCCTACAAATTACCAGGGATCCTGAGGTGGTTTGAGGTCAAATCAGTTTTCATGGTAAGATTGGTTTGGCTTTATTGAGATTGTGCTAAAAAAATGGGGGTTTTGTACAACCAGGGAGCATTTCTKTGTGTCAGAGCAAGGAATCCATGGGATTGTACCTGGCACATCCCAAAGGAACTTGCTGAGGGTGCTGATTGTTGGCTCAGGGTGACTCAGGCAATGTTTTTCCATTCCTGAAGGAAGGGAATTCAGCCAGCCCTCCAAGGAAAGGGCTGATCAAGTGCTTTGTGTGCTTTTAGAAAGTGCTTGTGTCTCCCAGCAGGTGGATCAGGACAGCCCTGTGTGTAAAAAGGACCTTGTAGGTGGTGTAGGGGAACCCTCCTCCATCCCAGTGAACCTGGCCTGAATTTTATAAGAGAACCAGGGTCTTTTGATTGTCATTTATTCCAAATACCCCAATAATCAAATGCATTGTATGTGTCTGCATTTCTCACCACTTGTGATGAAAGGTTGTTTTTATTTCTTGCCCATATTTAGCTAAATATACCCTCAGCACCCTCACAGAGTAACTCCAAATTACTCATTTCTCTGTTCAACCATTTAGACTGTTTAGATAAGACATATCCATTAAACGCCTTTAAGATTAAATTATTCTTATGCAGCTGTAATTTTTAAGTAGCAATAAAAACATTGTTACTGCGTTTTTTAAATCTCTCTTGTGAGGCTTATTTTTAAAGGAAAAGAACAATTTGCATATGATTAATTAAAACCTTTTTCATTGCTCCATTGAGGTTATGTTGGACAGTTGTATTTGGATGAACAGAAGTAATGCAGAAAATTACTGTGGTATCTATAGTAACAGAATATGAATGTGATGTGTGACAGTAATAGGCAGCTGAATAAAACACATTGAATTTTTAATGAATTTTGTAGTTTCAATATAATCCTGATGGARAAGATTGTATTTATCTTCATGATTGCAAGAAGTGCTGTTTGTGCAGGCTGGCAGATCTGATGCCAGTCCTGACAGGCTCTTTGTGTGCACCCCTAAAGCTCTGCCTGCCATCAGAACGGGCACAAAYCCTGGCAGAGTGCTCCCTGTCAGCCTTTGAGGAGCAAAAAAATTCTGTAGCTGAGAGGTGATAGCAGAGTGGAACTGAATAAAGTGCAGAAAGACTGCTGCAGATAACTCCTGACCTCCTCTGGCACAGTTCCTACAAAATGAGTATTGACTTCCCTCGAGATCCCTGTCAGCTGAAATGCTGCGAGGAGGATCACAGGCTTTACATCCCTGTAATGCTAAATTGTGATTATGGATACGGATATTATTGATCTCTGGCTAAGCACGAGGGTGCTCAAGCAGCTTTGTGTGTTTCATATTTTATTGATGGACCTGGAACATCGTTAAAGGGAGAGGTGAGATYGCATCGAATCAGTGCTGAGGGAACAGAATAATTTCATAAATGCAGTGTATTATGTTACATAACCCATAGGAAYGTGCAGAATTGCCTTCAGTCTATTGGCTTTTCCAATTCCTTCAGAGTACTTTTACCTAAATCTTTAAAATATTTTCATTATCTGCCAGGAATTTGGGGCCAGCATTCCTTATTCTGTACCTGAATTGCTTCAGCTGGACATGGGAAGTTGTAGGGGAAAAATTTGCTGAGACCAGACAGGGAAATAAAAACTGAATTTTGAATCACACTTGGGTTTAAAAAGCACAAATGCTAATCCCTATTTAGTTTTTTTCTTGGAATTGTGTAATGGTTCAAATGGACCAGGAGGATGGAATTCCTGTTTTCCCTGGGTAGAGTGAGGAGTGCCCAGAGTCAGGAAGCCACTGGGAACAAGGCTCTGAGTTTACAGATAYCATAAATAGCTTTTCCTGGGCTCCAAAGCCCAGTTTGTAGTAGTGAGATGGCAACTGCAATTCCTCATCTGCTTTTAAAAAATTAGAGGGAGTGTTGTAAGAGTAGTAAAAGAGAGGAGAACGGGAAAGAAAGCCATGATTGCTGCTAGAGAAAAGTCAAAAAGCTGTCAGCTCAATGAGTGCTAATTTCTGTCGATGCTCAAGAGCTTTAAAAGCAATGGTTCATCAACACATTATTGCATAGTTATAAGCCCATTAATACAAATGGCAGAATGCTAAATTTATCCATGATGTTCCCAGCAGCCCTRGCCCAATCAGATGTTGAGGGTGGCTCCACTCTCCTGTCCCCGTTCCTCGGTGGCACTTGRGGCTGTGTCCGAGCCTGACCCTCTCCCTGTTCCCAGCAGAAGCAGCAGCTCCTCCCCTGCCTTCCACCAGCATTCAGCAGGCAGGCTGCTCAAAATGCTAATTAAAACATCCTCCATCTAATCAGCTGGCAGGTGTAAGAGTAACAACTAAAGAGATTTGATTAGAAGTGCTTCTCAGAAACGGGGTAAGCAACTGATAGCCAGGTAGAAGTGCTGCTTTGTTTATGTAGCATTTATGCAAATGAGGCTGTAATCAAATATACACTTGCATTTTCCTCACAGCCCTCAATTAACCTTCCTTTTCTCACCCTGCCATATCATTTTTTTTCATACAAGCAGGCTGTGTCTTCCTGTGAGGACTCTCCATGCTCTGGGTCACTGCAAGTTACAGATTTTTTAGCCCGTTCACTAATATTTAAAGTCTTTTAATACTGTTTTTTTCAACGTGAATATTTTGAAAGACTCAGTAGTTGGGCATAAAATAGAGCTGGAGGTCAGTCAATTAAAATGAATCAAGTTTTAGACAGCAGAAGAGCTAATTCACTCCATGAAGACATCTGAGGACTCTCTTCCTTGAAGTCCAGGCTGTGGCAGAAAGAAAATTTCTCCTTTCTGTTCTTTATGCTCAGATGAAGAAAATGTGACCTCTTGGGAAAAAGCGCAGCAGATAGTTTAGATGTCATCTCATCAAAATATTAAACTCACTGTCCTTGGAAACACACCAAAATAATCACTGCTAAAATATCTTCTTGATTTTTGAGCGGCTTAGGATTACATTTTCCATCAGAAAAATCCACGTTAAAGTTATCATTTCTTTCTTACTGTTACGTTAAGCTGGATCTTCTTTGTGCTGCTAAAACTCACGGACCCTTAATCTCTGCTGTTCTCYGTAATCCTCCAAAAACCTCACGTGATTGCTGCCAGAGCCTTTCTGGGTGTTGTGCTGGGATGTAATCCCTCCTGCAGCAGCAAAATGCAGTTAACTTCCTGCACTGATACTCATCAGCATATCACTCACTGCAGCAGGAGATAGCAAATATCTGGATGTTTGAAATCACCCCTTTCTGGTAATTTCTGGTCCAAAATCTCACAGTAACCTCGGTTCTGAGATATTTCTGCCCACTGAACAGATTAAAAACTCTCCTCCTTGAGGAAAACTTCCTTGTGTTTGGGTTGTAGGTGGAGATCAGCCCCCTGGAGAACGCCATCGAAACCATGCAGCTGACCAACGACAAGATCAACAACATGGTGCAGCAGCACCTCAACGACCCCAACCTGCCCATCAACCCCCTGTCCATGCTGCTCAACGGCATCGTGGACCCYGCTGTCATGGGTGGCTTTGCCAACTACGAGAAGGTGACACCAAAGTGCCCTATGGGGTCCCAGTGCTGCTGGGCTGATCCCAGCATGGGGGGACGTGGAGCTCCAGGGGAGGGTRGAGCAGCTCTGCTGGGAGGAGAGGATGGGGTTGGTCAGGCTGGAGAGGAGAAGGTCTGGGGTGAGCTCAGTGTGGCTTTGTAGAGCCTGGAGGAACTATGGGAAAGGTGTAGAGATATTGGGGACAAGGGACAGAGGGACAGGACACAGGGARTGGGGTCACASTGCCAGRGGRMAGGGATGKATGGGATWTTGGGCAGGAATTGTYCCCTGTAGGGTGGGCAGCCCTGGCACAGGGTGCCCAGAGAAGCTGTGGCTGCCCCTGGATCCCTTTGAGTGCCCAAGGCCAGGCTGGACATTGTCCTATTCCCTGGGACAGTGGGAGGTGTCCCTGTCCTGGCAGGGCTGGCACTGCATCTTTAAGGTCCCTTCCAACCCAAATCACTGTCATTCAGTGATTCTGATCCAGTGATTCTGATCCAGTGATTCTGATTCCATGATTCCATCATTTTTCCTTTGTGTTTGTAGCTGTTCCTTTGCAGCACTTTGGGGTTGATTCATTTACCTTCTCTCATTCTTCTGGTAGTAGATGTTTCATTTTCTGAAATAACTTCTCTCTCTCTCTCAATTAGGCTTTTTTTACTGAGAAATACATGCACGAGCATCCAGAGGATCATGACAAGATTGAAAAGCTGAAGGATCTGATTGCTTGGCAGGTAARAARSTGGAAGTCAGGTTTGTCAGAGSCAGCTGCTGTGGAAAGGCAGTTTGGTGCCACTCTGGAGAAAATTCACACRTTAAACTCCTCACCTTGGATTCATTTCTTTGCCATTTAAATCTGTCTTGGAACTTGAGCTAAAGTTCATCTTTTCAAATCTRACATAACTTCCCATTTGGATAAACTTGCAGAGAACAAATACGATCAACATMTTTTCTTTTTTCTTTCTTTTTTTTCTATTTTTTCTAAACCTAATACATGAAAATCTCCCATCTGTATCAAATGAGAAAATATTTTTCAGGGCAAAGAAGAGACGATTCTAATTTTGTTCCATAGTCACACACTGGACATTTTCCTATGTTCTCAGGATCATTTTATGATAACTAAAAAATACCAGTTTGATTGGAAATGTTTTTTTTTCCCACAGAAGAAGGAAGTGAATCATTGTCTTTTCATATTCAATTCTGACTTTATAATAAAGGGAATCATTTACATTTCTGTAGATTTCAATCTTAGGGGTGGTAGAACCAAAGCAACAGAATTCAAAAATAAAATATCCTCTGAAGGCCATAAAACTATCAGTGAATAAAAACTCCTTTTGGTCTGGGGGAAAAAAAAAATTCTTTATTTTCTTGTGAGCTTTTAGACAAGATTAGGTTTTATAAGCTTTAAGTTTTATAGAGGAAAATAATTTGGTCCCAGAAGACTGACTTGGTGTCAGCTCTGTGTCTTTGCCTCTGAGAGTGATACTTCAAATGAATTCCAAACACACTTTCCCCCAGCCAAGGCTCACTTTGGTGACACTTGTGTATTAAAATAATATCACAGTTTGAAAATAGGGATGRTGGCTGATCACATTGGATTTTAATTATTCAGGGCTTCTAAACGTGTGATTTCCCATCCTGTTTTGTACTTCCAAAACAACAGGAACCAGAAAAACAGAGAAAAGGGATCAAGAATTATTTTTATTATTTCAGTGCTTTCAAGTTACCTTGGATGTTTTATATACATTTAGGGTATGCTAAAATTTAAATTTCCTCTCAGATTATTTCAGTTTCCAGCCGGGTGGAATCAGCTCCCAAATATTGGGGGAGGGATGTGTGTGGAAGCCTTGGAAGGGAGGCTGGGGCTGAATTCATCATGGGCTGGCAGTGATTGAAAGCAAAAAGGAATTTTCGTTTTTCAATAATGCGGGGCTCGGGGTTTTGTAATCCCRTGGAATTCTCTCCCTGCTGTATAAATCAATCTGGATATGTGAACCAGGAGCCTGACAATTGTATTATCAGCTGACCAGTTAGATTTAATATTTTTCTCTCCCCTTACCTCATTCTCCCTCATGCTGTGCAGTTCAGGATATTTTCCTTCCATAATTCCTGTGAATTTTAGGTGTACATTTTGTTTTTCTCTGCTGTTAACTCAGATCAATTCCATTAGCAAAGCCAGGCCCATTTTTGTCCTTCTTGGTGCTTTTCCAAATTAGGCAAAGAAACCTTCCCATGCAACCACACTATTTCCAGCTGATCTCTTATTTTAACATGAAGATAATGAAATGATTGATTGGAATTAAGGTGGGAAAATGAATGATTGATGACCTCAGTCACTGTGAATTTAGCTAATGTATTTACAGCACACTAAAACAGAAAAATACCATGACAAATCAGGCCCTTGTGCTCCTTCTGCAGAGATGAAAGAACTGCTGCATACCTAACGAAGGTTTTGTGATCATATTTTATGGTACCCTTGTTCTGAAGGATTGTTTTCAGAGATTAATTTAATAATTCAAACCAATGTCGTTTTTTCAGTCTTTTCAGCCGAGCAGATCAAGATTTAAAAAAAAAAAAAGGGGGAAAACAAATCAGGGAATAATTTGAAGTTGCAATGGAAGTTTATAAAATTTTAAAATCAGCCAAAAGTGGAGTTATGAAAAAAGAAAGTGCCCTTTCTCCAAGGCCAAGTTGATTTGGAATATCCTGAATGTGGCAAAATTCTGCCTCTGACAAAGATTCATGATAAAATTCCGTGTCACTCCTCAGCACATTTCCTTGTGTCAGTCTGGAAAGGAGACAGGGGAAGAATTTGGAAGTTGGTAGAAGAAGGTGAGACAGAGATGGCAGAGCAGTTGGAAAGTTCTCCCTGCAGTTGGTAAATGTTTGAAGGATTCAGTGGAGTTGGGCAGAGAGGCCAAATGTCCTGACTCAGCAACTTCACGCTGTTCTGCAGCAAAGCTGTGGGAAATTTATGAATTTCAACTTCTGGTAAAGAAAATCAAATTTAGTGTTCCCTCCTTCTCCTCCTTCTCCTCCTTCTCCTCCTTCTCCTCCTTCTCCTCCTTCTCCTCCTTCTCCTCCTTCTCCTCCTTCTCCCCCCACATATTTTCCCTACAAATAATGCCATTTACTCCCTGTTGCTCAGTTTTCCATCCTTGACGTGGCTGATCCTTTGGACAGGTTCCTTTGTGCATTTTCAGCTCACAAAATKATCTCAGAGCTGAAGCCTCAGACCCCACATGTGCTTCACCGTGGTAATTCCATTTTTTTAAAAAATAATCCATTTCAAATGTCAACAATTAAATGACCACTTAKTCCTCCCAAGCAGAAGGGTCACAATGTGGCTGGATAATTACRAAAATTTAGAAATTGATTTATTTATTCAGAGCAGGGAAACTTTCTAGTTTGATGTTTAATTTTTGTCGAGTGCAAATCCATGTGGTTATAAATAAAAGCCACTACATTAAAAAAAAAAAAAAATCATTATTCTTTTCTTTGTAGTCCTTTAGGAGAAGAAGCTCTGTCCATTTAAACGGTGCCAAATCACAGAGAATCATTTTGATAAGATTTCTTGAGTTTGTTCATCTGTAATTCATCTGTGTATTTATTATTCTCCKTACTAATAAAGCTGCTCCTTCTGATTGCTGCTCAGTCTTATTAGAAAAATCTGGTTTTAATCAGTATTATGATTTAATTATGAATTATTAAGAAGAAGCCTCTCAGCTTGATTGCTGCAGAGAATATCTGAGTTAGAATCAGAGCACTGTGTGGGCTGAAACGGACCTGGAAGAGGAAATATTTTTCCTGAGCTGGAGGTAGAAAACTCTAATGGTGTGTCTGGGTAGCTGTGGGAATGAAAATGTCTCTCTTAAAACATTTCCAAAGGTCAGCTACACCTCCACACTAGGAACTAATTATATAATCCTGTGCTGGCATGGATATTTTGTGACAGAAGCCTTGAAGATAAATGATTATTTTCAGTTACAAAAGAGAATTAATTTAATTTTTTTCCTCCACTGTTTTCTTCCCAGAGCAAATAAAATAATTTTTCTAAGGAGAACTGTGTAGCATATAAAACTGTATGTTTTATTAATAAATATTGCTCTGCAATATATATCTGTCCAAGGATGGAGCTCATTTGCAGCTTTAGAAATAGCATTTATTAAAGGAAACATAAACTATTTTCTTCTTCATGGTTTTATTCTCATGGAACTGGGAAAGGAGTTGATATTAATAACTTGGTGTGAGACTCATCATCCATCAGTTKGGTGTTTTAAAACACAGAATCTGTGGGGGCTTGAGAGTGGAATATCCCAGGAGGGCTTGGGCTGTGGGATAAATCCACTATGGGATTTCTGGGCAGAATTAGGGGTTTATTCAATTTAAAGGATTTTGCTCAACAGAGCAAAAGGGAAATCATGGAGAACGAGTCTTTAGATCGTGTTGTTTCTCATATACAATGAATGATGATGGTCACTGTGATGATAATAATAATTCTTTAGTATTTTTGTTATTGATGCTCTTTTAAAATAATTGTTATTATAATTACTATTATTATTAGTGTTATAATGATCATTATTATTGCTCTTATCACTAATATTATTWTTATTCCATGAGTTCTTCCCCTCCTGTGGGAGCGTTGTCCCCTCCCTTAGCTCAGGAAGGGCTGGGTGGGGTGAAACAGCCAAATTCCACTTTGCAGATCCCATTCCTGGCCGAGGGCATCCGCATCCACGGGGAGAAGGTGACAGAAGCACTGAGGCCGTTCCACGAGAGGATGGAGGCRTGCTTCAGGCAGCTCAAGGACAAGGTGGAAAAGCAGTACGGCGTCCGCGCCATCGTGAGTATCTCTCAACTTCCTCCTTCCTAAATAGCGACAATTTCTTTAATTTTTGTGTATTTTGCGTGCCAGTTCCATTGAGCAAGAAAAGCAGTGTAGGTGCAGCAGTGCTGGTTGTTCCCAGGATTGTCCAATTGTGGAATGCTGAGCAGATGAGAGCAGAGATGTCAAGGAAGCCTCGGTGCTTTCATTTCCGAGCACGGGAGCGATTTCTGAGCTGCCCGCCTCCGTTTCTTGAAAGTCAAGATAATCCTTCAGTTTTGAAGGATTTGGGTTACAAAAATAGATTTAAAAACGGGCACTTAGCAGGATTGTGTTGGAGCTGAATGTCACCTTTCCACAGGTGGAATTCCTTGAGGGAAGCGAGGGCTGTTCTGCTCTGGGGTAGAGTGTGGGCAGGCAAGGAAACCACAGCTCCTTTTTCATGAGTTTAAAAGGAATGAAATTCCTGCTTTTCTCATTCCTACAAACTCTTTCCTGCTGCTGCTTTATCCTTAAAGGAAAGCCAAGAATTCCCGGTGTTTCCTGTGGAGGTTTRTTCTGCTTTTGAGTGTTGAGAGTGAAGGAAGGTCAGAACAAAGAAAGCAAAAGGCTTTGTAATTCAGGCTAGAACACTTGATAATTTAGTCAAAAATACATGGATTGGGTGAGATTAAATGATGATGACAAGGTGGGCATTGGGCACAGCTTGGACTCACTCTCAGAGGGCTTTCCCACCCTAAATAATTTTGGGATTCTGTCTAGAGCAGTGACATAAYACTGAGAACTGAGATCCTACAGGGAATGTGCCAGCCTTCATGGCATCCTTTGGTGTTCTGTTTGTGTTCCTTCCAATCCCATCGTGCAAATTTATATATTCAGGAAAAAGTTCAAACAGTAATTTATTCCCAGGCAGAACAGGACTAATTACCATTAATGATGGCTGCATGTCAGTCACTTCAGTAGTACCCATTTCCATCAGCAGAGAGATGACTGGAAAGTGGYGTTATCTCCCTAATTTCACTCTACCACCAGTAAGAACTTTCAGGATTGATGGAGTTTTATCGCTTCTGTCTTCCTTGTACAAGGCCAATTTACCAGTAGTTGACAGGGTGGAAAATACACCTGTAATTAAACAGCATGAGCTTCTTATTTGTTGACTGAAAGAGTTCAATTATTTTATGCATATATCAGTTATTAATGACTGACAAAGCCTGGAGAAATATTCAGAACTCTGAAATTGTCTGAAACAAGAACAAAACTTTCATTTATTTTCTTCTTAACCTGGTGCCACTKTGTAAAATCAGCTCTCCTGATGTTTTTGACATAAAATTTCTCCTTGTGGGTTTTTACTTTGGATTTTTTTTTGGTTTTAGAAAGTTCGCTTCATTTAAATGTATTGACAGGGCAGTCACGACAATGGCAGGGATGGATTAAAAAATTATTTGTAKAAAGTTTCTTTTTTAAAGGGAAGATGGGAAAAAGCATGGAAATACCACTGAAACAAATGAATTGCTGGAATATGCTTAAAATTATTCWTATGAGGACCTAACTGTTTCTCTCCAGTCATTTGGATGGATTTCCTTTAGAGCCTGTTTTTTTGTTGTTAACCACAATGTAGTGCATRTGATTGATTAATTAATTAATTAAATAATATCAAACCCTACATGGAAAAAAATCCATGGAACCTTTCCACGCTACCTCTGGCACGTGGCTCTGAGCTTTTTTGGGATTGAAGCAGTGAGATGTGGCGTTTCTTGGCTGCAGCTGGCGGGTCTGGACGAGCGGAGGGGCAGCCGGCCCCGCTCCATGGTCAGGTCCTTCACCATGCCATCGTCATCCCGGCCCCTGTCCGTGGCTTCTGTGTCCTCCCTGTCCTCAGACAGCACCCCATCCCGGCCTGGCTCTGATGGGTGAGTAAGGAATCCTCCTCAGGGGGGTCTCTGGGGCTGGAGGGTGCTCGGCATTCCCAGAACTCAGAGCTGAGAATGGCTGGGAGAGCTGGGGGGGCTCACATGGACAGGAGAAAGATCCAGGGAGAGCTCAGAGACCTTTCCAGGAGAGCCTGGAGAGGGAATCGGGACAAGGGATGGGGTCACACTGCCAGAGGGCAGAGATGGATGGGATTTTGGGCAGGAATTGTTCCCTATAGGGTGGGCAGCCCTGGCACAGGGTGCCCAGAGAAGCTGTGGCTGCCCCTGGATCCCTTGGAGTGCCCAAGGCCTTGGAGCAGCCTGGGACAGTGGAAGTGTCCCTGCCATGGAACTGGATGAGTTTGAGATCCCTTCCATCCCACACCACTCCAGGATTCTTTTAAGTGACAGCCTAATATTGTCCAAAACCCCCAACCCATGGAGACGTTTCTCTCCAGGTCTCCGTTTCCTAACAGAGATAAACAGAATGCTCTTTTTTGCCTTCTTTAACCAACTTAAACAAAACCTTCAAAMAACAACAAAAAYCCCMGAGAGGAGATAAATCCCCCTTTTTYRGGTATCACAGGTGTGTCAGTGCAGAARGGATGCTCTGCAGGCTGGGGGTACAGCCAGGCCTCCATGGGGRCAGGAAGGATTAGCTGARAGCTCAATCACAGCTTCTCACTTGGGCTGCCAGAGCAAAAGCTGCTTATGGCAAGATTGTGCTTCAAGACTTATCAAGATATTTCACATGAGACCTGGGAATTCTGTTGATAAGCCCTGTCTCACAGTCACAGCCCTCAAAGAGCAAAATAATCTGTTTGCTGTCTGGGCTTTCCGTGCAGCCTCACAAGTCCCTTCTCCCTCTTCCTTCCCTCGGGCACCCCTGTAAGCCAGAAATGCAATATTTAACCGAGGCAGCAGGTTTTAAAAGTCTTCTGAAGGGCTGCTGGCTTACAGGGATGTGCTGGAAACTCTTGTGAGCCTTCAGAGGGGAGTTATGACCTGACCAGAGACTGAAGGCATCAATTAAAATGAAATMCATTGCTATCACTGTGGGACAGTAGAGGTGATCCTAAATGTTCACTCATTCACCACAAAGTTGCCTTGCTGCAACTTGGGCAGGACAACCATCCCACGTTAGTGGGCAACTTTGTTTTGTCTCAGAAAAAAAATGGTGGGATTTTGGCTTTGGTTCTGGAAAATTCAGGAAAATGGCTCAGGGACKGCTGTTGCAGGTGCTGGTTTGAGCGTCTTCCCATCAATGAGCTTATGTAGAGTGGAAACAACAATGAAAAATAATAATAATTTGGGATATTGTCGCTGGACATTGCTGCTAATGGAGCGAATTGGGATAATGTCCCTGCAAATTGTGTGAAATAKGAATATTCCATTATTTCCCAGCACAGACTGTGGCCTGTACCTGCTTGCAGCTCCCTGCAGTGCTAAAAGAGTCCTTGGTTGRGAATTTYTGGTTTGGTTTTGGTTTTGCAATGTGTTGGTTTGAGACAGTCTTAAAACCCACCAGTGTAATTCTGTCTAGGTGGGATCTTGGTGATTTTTTGCATTTAGAATATAAAATAAATCATAAAATACCTTGTTTAGCTTAGAATGCTCCATGCCTGGAAGTGATGCCTCATCCCTGGCAGTGTCCAAGGCCAGGCTGGACAGGGCTGGGAGCAGCCTGGGACAGTGGGAGGTGTCCCTGCCATGGCAGGGGTGGCACTCAATTTCCCAGGTGCCACAGCAYGGAGAGTGGTGGAGCTGAATGAAAAACTCATTTTTTGCGTGAAATTCAGGAGTTCCTGTAGCCATAAACCAATAAATTTACTGCAGAGCAGGGAAATCCACAGCTCTGCTTCTCCAGCAGTTCTGCAGTAATTTTTATTATAAGACAATTATGATTGTTATGACCTTCTGCCCCCTCCTTCTCCCTCTAATGAGTTTTCCTGGATTAGCAAAGRGTCATTAACTCAAGCGAGGCTTGGGGAAACATGTAAATAAAAATTAGATGGTTTGAAAATAGCATTTTATTGATCTGAGCAACAACATTTTCCTTTAGGTTCGTGCTGGAGCCCCTCCTGCCWAAAAAGATGCATTCTAGGTCGCAAGATAAATTGGACAAGGATGACCTAGATAAAGATAAAAAGGAAAAGAAGAAGGAGAAGAGGAACAGCAAGCATCAAGAGATATTTGATAAAGAATTTAAATCTACTGATATTTCTCTGCAGCAGGCTGAAGCAGTGATCCTTTCAGAAACGGTAACTTTATTAGCCAGGAATGCTTTATCTAATTCTGAGCTGTGTTCCCTGTCCTTTGAAATCAGAATGTTGATTTTTTTTTTATTTACCGTTTAGTTACTTTGTAGACCAAAAATAACTCTGAGAGGCCTCACTACAATGTTAATGTACGCTGTTAATGTACATGCTAATGAATCAAAAACACAGATTTGATTTACAGTGGGGAAAGATCCTCTGAAAATCTTCACCCAAAGCTCTGTGTGACTGGTGGATAAAAGGAGGAGATGGTACAGCATAACTGAAATAAATACCATGATCCCAGCAGCCTTTGGGATGGATGTTTCCCTCTGGATATGGATGGTCTCTCTGTTTCACTGGACAGGKTTTGGGGGATGGATWTTCCAAGGTCATTCCAGCGGCGCTYGCGTGTTCTCCAAGGGCTGCTGGGAGCAGCAAATCCCGAGCAGTTCCTGTGTGTAAGGATATTAAACCCAGGCCATATCTCCCTTAAACCCTCTCTTCTTGGCGTGGATTTAATTCRCTGGAACTGTCCTCAAGGCTTAGGTAACCTGAGAGAAGTTGGAGCTGGGAAATTGAAAGCAGCGATTGCTAAAGCTGGAGCGGGGAGARCRTGAACTGACTGTGACCTCCAAATCTCTGCCTGGACACCTGTTTGGAGGCCAGGGTTTAAAACTTGCCTCCCAGAAATGAATGTAATGGTCTTTTGAAGATTTTGTACTTGTAGAGCCAACTTTTCGCTCAGCAGTCTTGTTGGAGCTGTGGCATTTACATTGGATTTTGAAATGATTTTTCTCTCACTTGTGATAAGTGGATCCTGTAATTCTTTCGGTTTGGGATTTATAGGGAAATATTATTTAAATGTTCAGCTGCACTTCCTCTGTTTTCTGGATTTTCCCCTCCTTTTCCACCCAGAGATGAGTTAATCTCTCACACTTGTCTGGTGACACCCTGAAAAATCAAAGTTGTTTTGTTTAATGTGCTCAGTCAAAATCTCCAGTAAAATCCCATCTGGGGCTCTCAGGCTTTTTACCTTTGAAACCAATGAGTTTTGCCATTGACTTCTGTAAATTTTGGATGAGCCTTGGTTTGTTTAAATGGAGATTCTTCCTGCCAGAGCCAGCCAGGTGAGCATCATTTTGCACAGATTTCTGTGTCTCATGGTTGTGCTGCAGCACATTTGGATTWGCACCTTGCAGCAGCTGTATTTTGACTGAATTGACTGAGAACAGCAGTGACAGGACTTCCCCTGGCATCTCCCAGATCCCAAACGGACCAGCAGATCCTGTGGRATGTCACAGAAGGAACAAATTGTATTTCAGGGCAGCTGAGTCAGTTGGAGCAGCTGGGAGGCATCCAAGGATTCTGGGGAGCCAGTTGGAGTCATCATAAGGTCACTGTCAGCTCTCTGAGGTCTTGGACTTTGGAAAAGCTTGTTTATGACTGGAAAAAAAGCAAATTCTATCTGGGAAGGAGGGCAGCATCACCCTTCAGGGCAAATTCCCATTTGTCATCCGAGGAGAAAAAAACCATCAAAGCCCATCGTGGTTTAACTCAAGTTTTTTTCCAGTGTTCCCAGTCAAGAGCTTTCAGCGCCYGACTGGTGTGGGCAATATTCCCCTGGTGATGGAGAGGGAAGGAAATTAACTGTCAGAACCGGTTACTTACAGTTACTTTGAGCTTCTTCAAGTGCACAGATCAATAATATGAAAAGGAGTTTACTGTTGAGAGAAAAACTCTCCCTTTTCAGCCTCTGCAAGAGCCTCGGCGAGCTCCAAAACGATCAAGTTGATTCAGGATGTTTGGAGTCTGGGGGGTTCATTTTTAGGTGAAGCAGAAGAACCACGCTCCTAAGATGAGTTTACATGAGTGGTTGCCCAATTCCCGCTGCTGTCTTATGGAATTTTGAACAGATAACATCAAGGAGTTTAAGGATAAAATTTGTCCTAAAATTTTTCCGTGCTGGAGGCATCCCCTGTCAATGCTACAAAGGGAAATTTGTGGTAGGAATTCAGGTTTGCCATTGTTCAGTGTTTGTGTGTAAATTCCCTTTTGAAGTTGCAATAAGTGTCGTATGAAGAAAAAGAAATTTGGGCTGTCCTACATGAGAAATGTGGRAGCAGAAAGTTTGCTGGGTTAAAAAGAGGTGATGAAATGGACAGGGGAAAAAAAGAAGATTGGCTTTTTTTTAGAAAAAGTTTGGAGTACAGATTTGACTAGAAATGGAAATTAAGCTTTTAAAAGTTTCTAAAGTAAGATTTTAGTAATTAATACCATTAGTTACTAAGTTTTTTATTATAGATGTTGGGTTAATTCTGCTGAGAATTTTACAGCTCRTTCTGCTGTCACTCATTCAATTATTACACTTCAGTTATTTGGTGAATTTTCTAACAGATTTTGAGTTCTGACTTCTGAAATATTTGGGKATTTTACAGCAGAAGGCAAATTGACAGGTAATACCAAACGAGAGAAATGCCAACCAATGGCCATTCCCATCCCTGCAGAGCTTCTGCTGCTCTTTCCAACGACATTGTCTAAAGAAACGAAGGTTTCCAGTCTTATGYAGGATCTTCTTTTTTCCAATCAAATGAATCATCCTGGAAGWACATGGGGAGCTTCTCAAACTGCARAATTATTTCAAGCAGCTTTTACATTTGCTTTGAAAAGGAGCATTCAGAGGCCGTTTAATTGCGTGGTTTAAATACTCCTTCCCAAATTTCACTGTACTCACCATGAATTTATTGACTGATCAAACCTCAGGCCTTAATTACACAAGATAACAGAGATAAATGAAGCACTTCAGTATGTGAAGATGAGCAGGAATATCTTCATAGTTTCCTAGAGATTTATTATCTGCTTTTAAGTATCACATCAGCTTCTTCAGCAGAAATTGTCCTCGTTAGTGCTTTGATCCCAGGAGCTGAGGTCAGGTAGTTACCAGAGCACTTGAAGGCTCGTGTTGGAAATCAGAAGAAAAGGCTGGATTTTATYGATTCAGTGGTGTCTGACATCACTCACCATTGATCTGCCCTTCGTTAGACCAAAAAAAAAATTAGCAGTGGCTTCGTTATGGATTGGTGGCCTCCCAAGARCTCATATTCCTCAGCAGATCTGGGATTGATGTGGAGCTGTCRGAGGAGGCCAAGGATTGTCAATCACAGGAGAAGTCAACATTTGTTTAAGGAGCTGCAGACAGGGTTAACTTGGGAACTGACTGCAGTTGGTTTTTCTCTTGATCCTGGCCTGTTTCTCTCCCCAATTAACATATTTTCCTTCGTTGTTTTTTTTATAATTACCTGCCCCTGAAAAAGTGATTGCTTTGCTTATCCATTCTAYTAAAAATACGCTTTAAAGGATCTGGAAAGCAGAAACTTTTGGAGTCTCTAGGATTTGAATTTTAGCATCAGAAAATTTCTGAGAGGTTACCCCGAGGTCTTGATGAACTTTCCAAGGAAAGGTACATCCGTTTGTTGTAGAAGGGTCTCACAGGCACARCCTTTGATGCAAAGCCCTTTAGGGTTTGTTTTCTGAAAACAAAAGGAAGCATTTCTACGTCATTTCAGGTTTCTCCTTCACAACATTCTTCATAAAAACCCAAACAYTGGGAAATGACAAAACCCTTTGAACAAGCCTGGATTGCTGCTGGCACTTTCTGTTCTGTCTCAGTGCAGCACCTTGGAGTAATTCCCCTCTTAACTTCAGGCTGCTGCTCCATTTTCKGGGATCTGCTGGAAATGAAAAGCTCCTTTTTTCACTGTTACTATGGGGGTGGTGAATGGGGAACATCAGTCGAGCTCAGAATTAAACTCAGTCAAAAGAATTACCTTTACTAAAGCATGAGTTGCCCATCAGATTACAAATATCTTTTGAGGGTTTCTGATGGGAAATTTGAATGGATTATGARGCAGCCAGAGCAAAAAATGGGATGTTTCAGTGAATTAAATGTAAGCGAAGCCAGGAACCACCAAGAAAACGTTTCTGGACAGATGATGTCTTCATCAGAAGAGAGTTYCACCTGCAAAGGATTAAAGAGAGAAATTTTAACAGGAAAGTAGAGCCGTGTGAGGAAAAATAAAGATTTTGGGCGCTGTATAATCTGGTGTAAGGCTATGAACTCCCTCAGCTGTTATTAACCAAGAGTTTGGGACATTTGTTAAGGCCAGGCTGTGGGGAGCTGGGATCCCTTGGGGGAAGGGAAGGACCTGGAGCTGTGGGTCAGCAATTTTGGGCGTCAGCCCTGCCCTCGCCCTGCTCAGGGTGAAACGCGGCCGTTCAGGCTCTGACACTCAGTCCTGAGCATCCCCTTGTAAGAGACGGTACAGCAGTCCCTCATCTGCCTCACGATCCTCGAGATGGACAGAGACTGAGCACCCAAAAACCCCAAGGGGGAAGAAGGGGGACTTTTGCTCAAAGAAGTCTGGGCCAGATCAAGGTGGGATGTCTGCCAGGTGGCAGTGCTCAGGCTGCTGAACAAGGTGTAAGCCCCAGTGGACCACGTCGTCGTGGAGGAGAGCTGCATGGTTTGTGCTGTACACCTGACAAAACAATGGGCAATCTTTCCCCAACTCTTGGCCAATTTCCCCTGCATTGGGACCTCTTGGACAGCTGCTGCACACTTTCGAAAAGACTATAAGAGGCTTTCAGAGAAAATCCCTACGAGTACTTCCCACAGATGAAGATGAATCGATGGGATCCAGACCTCGAGGATTTTGTTGGAGCCGTTGGTAGCTATAACCCCACCCTCTCTCTCTCACTCTCTCTCTTTTTCTCCCTCTCACCCTCTTCTATTGCATAAATCATGTTGTTGCCACTCAATAAAAGTGCTTATGATTTTGAATAAATACTTGTCCCTCCTCTTTTGCACTCTGAGATTCAGTTAACGAACCATCACGACTTCTGCTTGTTTCGAGCAGATCATGACACCCCTCCCCGTTGTKTCCCCCCAGATCAGCCCCCTGAGGCCGCAGAGACCCAAGAGCCAGGTGCTGACAGCCATGGGCGAGCGTCGCTTCTCCGTGTCGCCGGCACCGCCCGGCTCGCAGCTGACACCGCCACCCATCACCCCGCGGACCAAACTCGCCTTCAGCATCCAGCCCGGTAAGGCTGCCCTGGAAATCGATTCCCTTTCCATGTGGAATGTATTTCCTCAGCATTTCTTTGCGCCCTGCTTTGAGTCGAGTCGCTCCTTTGGCCATCACCAGGGCATTTCTTGCACCAGATATTTCTTAACCTCATACCTTTGCCGAAAAAATGGTTTCACCTTTTGACAAAAGCAGGCAAAATTGTTGCAKTGAAACAGTTTCTTTTCATGTAATCATTAACAATTAATTAGGTGCAGAATAACAGTCAAAAATTCATGTTGTATTTGATCCTGTATTGAGTGTTCGAAGCATAAAGGCTTAAAAAGCAATAGTTTTTTTGTAATTGTACGTTAAAAAAAYATGTCTTTGATATGTTGTGAGTACAAGCCAGAAGGGAAAATAAAGGTCAGTCTTTTTGAAGTAGTTTTTTGTTTGACATTGACATCTTTCACTCAGTTTTTTTCTGTAAAATATCATCTGTTTGCTTCATTCTGCAGCAAACCCTATTGCAAAGCTGGGAGTGATCCAACACCTATTTCTTTCCCAGTACTCTTTCCCAAAACCTGTTATTCTGAGTTTGCAGCTGCCAGCGTGTGACAAAAAGGAAAAAAAAAATTCTTTTTGATACATGTRCCCAAATCCTGCAGTGGTCAAGAGTTCAGTGGTAGTAAGGAGAACAGATGGTCAGTCTTAAGAAACAAATCTTGCTCCATCAAGGTTTTATTTATTGGTTTTGGTAGTTGAAATTTTTTTCCCTTAAATAGTCAGACAACCAAAGCAAATATTTTGATTATGATGAACCCGTAGCTCTCACCTTTCTTTACAATTTTATAGCCAAAAACTACCAGGATGCTAGAAACTGGGAATATCGAGAAGTAAAAGATATATTCTCCTGCAAAATATATATTTTTAATTGGATTATTTGTTCATATGTACATTTTATTAGCACTTAATTTGATTTCTCTTTGTAAGAAATGTCTGAAGTTCACAGGTATTTCTGAGAATATTCATGTGCTGGAGATTGGTGGGTGTTACAAAAAATAGACTCATCTTATTGCACTGGTCCATAATCATTTGAGAAATTACAGTGATAAATTTTTTTTTAGGAACACCAAGGATAAAGAAGTTCCTTCGGAGCCCAAATTGGCTAAAAGCAGTTAATGGGTTGCTAAGCAATGCTGGCTGCTTGTTAGCTGGCAGTTTAGGAGAATGGAGTGTAAAATGGGATCATTAGAGTGAGATGAAAAAGGAGTCCCTTAACTGATATCTGGCAGTGTCCAGCAAGGAGTGAATATTCAGAGCACACTGATCCCATGAACCACCTCGAATAATGAATATCAATGAATAATGAGGGCACCCAGAAATGCTGGGGCATTGTTTGTGTAGTGAACGTGGTACTGGGGTGCAGTTTACCTGAACTGGGCAGGAGGAAGTTCATAGATTTGCAGTAAATAGACTTTAGATTTTCTTGAGACAACACTGGAAATTCCCGAAACTTTTGTTCAATACCAGGGTAGATCCTCCCTGGATTTCAGTGAACTCTGGGAAAGATTAGAGACTTGGGCAAATCATGGATTTGCATGATGGGATCTTGTTCTTCCACTAAACAGAGTCCAGATAAATGCAAACACGTTTTCAGGGTGTTTGATGAGCTGTTACTGTGGCTGGGAACGCTCTGCCCACATTTGCAGGGATTTATTGCTGCCTTGCAATGGGATGGGGTTGGGAAGGTGCCATGGACAGGCTGCAGGGGCACAGCAGGGGCTGCAGGAAATTCCAGGAGTTGGGGAATGYGGGGAAAGGGGGAGAAGCAGAGCAGGACACATTCCATGGACAGTTGGGTTCCATCCAKGYTCTTCAAGCAGAGTTGCCTCCACTCCTTGTTTCCTCTGCAGCTCTGCTGAAAACATTCCTCACCTGCCTTTCCATGGATCCTCCAAAGATTTGTTCAAAGAAACCAAGGATTTCGGTTATTCCTGAAAAAAATGGTCCCACCATCCTTTGGGAGCACTTTGGCTTAGGTGAAGTTACAAGTTTTATCATGGAAGAAGTTCTATCATGTTAGTTGAAAAAATATCATGCAAAATGCAAAGCTGAAATGTTCAGGGTGGTTAAATTCACTTTATTTTGGGCAAATTGTGTGTTATTATACWCCCTTTCAGTTTCCCAAGGAATGTCTGCAAAGAGGCCAAAAAACACGGCTTGTTTCTAGTAAAGACAGGAAGAAGGTTTCTATTTCTGAAATAGGTTTTGCTAAAGTCCTAACTAAACACAAAAGAAAATGCCATTTCCCACTTTTATCCTAAACTTCRTGGAARAAGCAAYCAWAYAAATCMATRKATATATATATTTAGATAAAATATAKATGTATAGRTGTGTGGTTGTGGGTGAGRTGWGCAGGACCTGTGCCAGGAGTTGTTTTGTGCCMTTAAATGTCTCAAATTCCTGAGCTCTTTAGATGTGCAGAATGGATGGGGAATTCATTCCCAGGATCAACATTTCCAGCTGCAGTTTAAACCATGAGCTGGGCAGGAGCAGATTCTCATGGAGATCCTTAAAGGAAACTCTTATGGATGTCTGGGGGATGGAGAAATCCTCTCGGTGGAAAAGGAAGGATGAAAAACAGGAGCAATGGAAAAAACAGTGAGAAATGCAGGTCCTGGTGGACAAACAACATTTTCCAGCCTCATGGAGAAACCACTGGAAATGTGAAGTCCCAGGATGGAAAAAAATCCTTTTTTTAGTGTAGGCAAGAGTTCAGGTGGAGGGATGAGGAGTAAAATTACAGTTTTCAGTGACAAATCAATGGAGCCACCTCAGAGTTAAATCGTGGTAGTGAGAGGCCATTTTAGAGAACAATAAAATCACAAAATTTGAATAAAATATTGATATGGACTTTGCAATAAAAACATCTGCATAAACAAGTCCCTCCACTTGTTTCACAAATCACCCCAGTAAACATAAAATCGAAATCACCTTCWTTTTTTTTCAGTTTTCCTAAATAAYGTTCCCWCATTTATAAAAAATCGTTTCAGTTTCTTATCTCGTAGAGATCACAGTGGGTTTTATTAAAATGACTGAATCRAAATGACTGTGTTAAAATGACTGAATTACCCTGAAATACGCCGTGGGTGGATTTCTCCCCCAAAACCGATGTATCACTCAGGCCTCCATAAACTTTATTGTCCCTCAGGCTATTTGCCTCTCCAGCACATACCTGGGAGGATTTATCTGCTAAGAGAAGGGAATTTTCTCCCCAGCAAACGAGAATAATGAATGTTCAGTACTTYCTCGTGCGTGATTTTATTTACTCAACGACTAATGGCTGCTCATTTGTTATAGTTACCTGGAGCCTGAAAGTTTTGGAGAGAGATGTACTTAATTCTAGGCTTTCACTTGTGCATTTTATTAACAGGGAACTTTTATTTTACTGGGAGGAAGTCAATAAAACTTAGCTCGATTATATTTTCTTCTTGCGCTTAGCAAAACTTGTATCATGTTTTAATGTTCAAGGTGAGCTTCGAGATGCGAAAATTTTATTTTCTGAGCTTGTGAATATTTTGGTGGAAAAGGTGAAGGGAATTTTTTTTTTAAATTAAAAATGGGAGGTTTTTCAAGATTTTGAGGGTATTTTAAAATGAGCCCAATGTGAATGCACAGCCAGGTTGAACGGGATGGTGGAAATTGTCCCTGCCCATGGACTGTGTGATCCATGAAGTCCCTTCCAACTCAAACCATTCTGGAATTGCAGGATTCAGCTGCTGGAAGAGTTAACCCAGTGCTGTTTTCTCCAGGTCTGGAGCTGAATGGGATGTCCAGCTCTGACATCCCCGACGTTCCCCCTCCTCTGCCCCTCAAAGGAAGCACGGCYGACTACGGGAACCTCATGGAGAGCCAGGAGCTGATCAGCCCCACCACGTCCCCCCCTGCCCACCAGCGGGTGAGTGCCCCAAAAACGATCCCTTTGAGCTTTGCTTGGTACCCAGAGCCCTCCCAGCTGAGCTGGAATCCTGCTCCACATCCAGCAGCTGATCCCGGGGGTTCTGTGGGGTCAGGAAAGGGAGGAGGGAGGGMGTTGCTCACAGGGACCTGCCCAAAGGAAAGCTGGATCCGTTCTGGTGGAGTCCAAGCCAGATGTTGTCAGGTTTGGTGGGAAGAGCTTGAACAAACAGGRTGAGCTCTGAGCAGCAAATTGGATTTAAGAGTGTGAGGAAAATTTATCCACAAAGGTTGATGTCCCAAAAGGAGACAGAGGAGCCCTGTAACTTTATTCAAATAAAGGGAGAATCCATGGGTTATTTCCATGGGTTCTCTCCAATTTCTGGAGGATGCAGCCTCCTCTTTATCCCAATTTCCCGGCTGCATTTCCCTCTCTCTTCTCCCATGGCTGAGGTAATGGAGACTGGTACAAACTTCCCCAGATCCCCTAATACAGACCCCATCTAATGTGCATCCCCCCCTTTTTATTCTTTGTGTCTCTGTTCTTTTTCTCTCAGTGCAGGGATTTARCCCTGCCTTGGGTCAGTACCAGTCTGTGCCAATGAGTGGAATTCCTSTGGAATTTATGSTTCCATCATTKCTCCTTTCACCTGTCAGKAYCYRSCCTTATCTCCTAGCAGACCCCACAGATKATTTGTWAAGACACCTCCCTCTCATTCCTTTCAAGRGCCCWTCAGTGCTRTGTCAGGAAAGRAAATAAAACCTRTCCCTGCCATCCTCCCTTCCTGCAGCTCCCTTTCTGCCCACATTCCATCACCATCCCATCACCACTCATTTCCTGGAGGCAAACCCCCCTGTCCCCTTGGAGGGAATGAGCTCAGAAACTCCTCATCATCAACAGGCTTTGGAGATTGCTGAACAAAATTCTCTTTTTCAGCTTGGTTTCCTGTAGCTGRAAGCTTTTAAAAATAATGTGGTCTTTTTCTTTCAAGCAGCACTTTTGAGAAATGCCTTTTGTTTTCTTTAGGGGCAAAGAAAATGCTTTTAAAGGGTGTGGTGGGTTGACCCTGGTGGTGCCCACCAAAGATACTCCATCGATCCCCTCCTCAGCTGGATGGGAGAGAAAAAATATCATGAAAGTGAAAGAGATAAGGACAGGGAGTGATCACTCACCCCTTACCCCCAAAACAGGCTTGGCTTGGGAAATTAATTGAATTTATTACCAGTCAAATCAATTAAACCCCACAAGGTCACAAGTTTTTTTGACTTTGAAACGTCAAACTTTGACCGAGCTGTTTTGGGCAAAAATTTCCCAATGGAGCTGATCCCTTTTTATGTGCAGAGGTGTCTTCCAGGATTCCTCTGAACTTCAGCATTCTAGTGAAATTCTGTTGAGTGATTTGCTTTCTAGCAAATTTTGTGGTGAGAGAAAGCATTTCTAACCTCGGCAGAGGCAGGCAGGAATTGGGTTTGACTCTGGGTTGTGTTTAACACAGACTATYCCAGTGCACAAATCCAGCTTTTCCATGGTTGAAATTGTGCCTTTGTTGTTGCAGGAATTGAGGATTTTCTGACTGAATGGGGGAAAAAAAAAACAGGTATAGAAGTAACTTSAGGAGTGTGAATAGTGATACTCAAACCACCTTATTTTCATCTTTATTTGCACTGAAAAATTCCCCATTCCCATTTTCCCTTCCATAGTTGTTCCCCAGGGCTGGCTCATTTTCATCAATATTTTCACTTTTCCTCTCATTTCCATCAAAGTTTACTACACTCCTAACCTTATAACCCATTTCCCCAGCTCCTGTCTCAGGGGCCAGCTCTCATTTGTCCTGAATACAGACCTCTAAGTGGAAAATTACAGAATGTACAGCGGGGCTGCTGAGAGCTTTGTCTAAGGAATCCATCTTTGGGAAAAAAAAGCTGAGAAATTCAAATTAAGATTCACATTTCTTCAGCTCCTTGCTGCATAAGCTCCAGAGCAGTAAATTCATTTTGTATGATGTGCTGTAAGGTTTAGGCCGTGGTAGTAGCTCAGGATTGCCAAGGTGAGTTCAATTTTTAGCTAAAAAGTATTAAACAACGATAAGAAACAAAATCCTGGTAGCCAGGGAGGTTTTTTCCCTGCCTTGTGAGGCTTTTGAGGGGTTTCCCCTCTGGAATTAGATGTTTTTAGTCGCTGTACAACTCCCAGATGCCATGGGGGTGATTTTTGGAGGCTGGAGATCGCTCAGATGCCAGCCCAGGCTGTGACCTTGTGCAGCTCCTGTACCTGCCACCAGCAGCATTTCCACATCATTAAATGGGAGTTCATAAAAATAGTACCAATGTGCTCCCGTGACTTTTTTTGCAAAGTTTTATTCAGCTCTTAATATTTTTGCTCTTTACAGTCTTGATTGCTCAGACTACTTTCATTTTTTTTGCTGTATTTTGTCACTATAGGAGTAGACCCCACTTTTTCACCTTCAGCATTGAAGGGCTTAATAGCTGAGTAATATTAAATAATAATAYAGCTTAATAATATAGTATTAAATAATTATAGTATTAAAATTAAAATAAATATAGTATTAAATAATAATAATAAAGATAATAATGAATAATAATAAAAAATCCTTAATAAATTTGATTTAATAGCTGAGAAATGCAGTCAGGTACAGGCTGCATCTCTTTAGCCAACTCTCCAAAATTCTCTTTAGCATCTGTATTTTGATAAGCTTCCCAAGATGATGGGATGTGGTTTCACTGCAGGGCCAGCAGTGACTCGATGATCCTCATGGGTCYCTTCCACTGTTCTGGGATTCTGTATTTGGTTTAGAATTGATTTTGGAAAAGGTTYCTAATCCTGTAACAATCACTGTGTGCCTGGATTCCATCAGGCTGGTAGGAAGGAAGTTTTTAAAGAATATCAAGCAAATGAGAGTGTTGGATGTGAAAGATCAGATGGGTAAATTCTCATTGCTGCCATGATTAAATCCCACTCYATAGTTTTAATGACTTCTGTTTCACGGGTCAAATAGCTCCATAATTCATAACTGGATAATTCCCTGCCTGGTAAACTGATCATCTTTTAAATTACGCCGCCTTTGTATCAGTGAAGAAAAATCAGTAAAACCTATTAGAGATAAGATTATCTGAGTCACTTTTAAACTGGAAATATCTCCTCGTGTGAGGAATGATTGTGTTTTTCACTCTGCTTGTCTTGCAGTGGGTTATGAAAGGCAGAAGTGAGCTCAAAAGCAGAAAGGGATCAGATTCTCCAAGTGCAATAATGTCATTTAGGAGACCRAAATCCCAGAGTTTCAGGGTCCACTGTTACCTTGGTCCACCTTTCAGCCTCTCATTAGCATTTCCTGCCTGTCCCTCACTCCTCATTAACTGGGAGACCCTTGTAGATATTTTCTCACTCCCTGTGATTTGTTCTGCTAAAAATGTCCTTAATAATATATGGGAACGTAAAAAAAAAAAAAAAAGAGAGAAATCTACGACTCCTGCAAGGATTATTATTACATCAAGGGATTCCTTTAGGCACTTATCATTCTTTATGGGTTCATCCTCACCCTTGCATACAAATCACCCTCCTGCTTAGCATTCAGAGCAGGGAGGGAGCTCCAAGAAAATAGACAAAGGAGCCCTTGGGTTGATAATATTGGCTGTAACAGTTGCTGAGCATGGGGTAATGCTGGGATGGAACATCTCCATCAATGCAGCACAGGTGGAATGTGGTGAGGAGGCTGCAGAACRGCCTTGGATGGTTCTGTTGTGTGGGGATTGTTCTGGCAGCTCAATGGGATAAAAAGGGATCATTTATTCAGATATAACACACAGAAAGCAGAACCCAGGGGGATTTTTTGTGTGTTGCAATGCAGGTGCTGCAGTGCTGGAAATGATCTCCTGTAGCAGCTGCAGTGAGCAAAAAATGACCTTAAAGGTTTCAGAAGGTGTGTTGTCCTGGTGTGGATGGGACAAAGAGGCTGGAAATGCAGCTGGAACTGTGGGGGAACAGGGAATTGGGGAGCACAACTTCAGGGGCTGCAGCAGCAACTGCAATTCCTGTCTGAACTCTGGGACAGGGACAGGACCCAGGAAAAGGCTGGAGCTCTGTCAGGGGAGGTTTAGGWTGGATTTTGGGAAAGGTTCTTCCCATGCCCAAGCACTGCCCAAGGAATGGGCATGGCCTTGAGGCTGCCAGAGCTCCAGGGCATCTCCACTCCTGCTGAAGGAACAGCTCAGAGCTGGGGGGCTGAGAGTGTTTTCACAGTCCTGGGTAGCTGATTATCTGTTTACATCCCATTTCTGCTCTTCTGACCTAATTAGATCCCTCAATCCTTCCAATTGGAGTGCAGTCACAGGATCTCAAGAGTTCATCATATCAGTGGCYGCTGAATTTCAGAGAAAAGGAGTTCCTTGCACAGGCAGAAATCTCRTGCAGGGCCACAAGGACCATTTTGCAGAATCAAATTCTGTTTGATTTTTTCATAGTTGTTTTTTTTTTTTTTTTAATAGTATTCTCTGAATGAGAAACAACTCCTCTCTCATTTTGCTGCTTCAGAGTAGTGAAAAAAATGCATTTTCTCATCTTCTGTAATTGATTTTTACTCCATCCTAGTGTAGTGCAGTTTCTATCTCCCTGTAAGAGAACGCAGACAAATGTTTTTCAACTTGATTCTTCTCTGTATCAGGGAAAGAAAAAAAAAAAAAAACAACAACCCAGCAAATAAATGGGAGCAATTTCATGTCTGGAGCAGAAGGAACAGATTGTTTCCRTGTTGCAGATGTGCCTTTTACATAAGGTTGCTGCTTCCCCTGAGGTGCCCGTGAGTGGAGGATTCTGCCCAAAATAGGTTGGGATGTGAAGCAGCAGCTTCTGTCAGTTTGTCAGGAAGGGAAGGGAAGAGTCAGGGTCACAATTAACACCAAAATCCAAATGTGAACTCATCCAGGCGGGTCTGAATTCAACACCAAATCAAGGCAAACTCTGGTTTTATTGTGGAGTTTCTGAAGTGAAGCGCAGCAAAAATGAACTTTTTAACCCTGATAATGATTTTGGTGAGTGTGGTGTTTAAGGGAAAAAGGAAGTGTGGCTGGAATTCCTCCTGTCCTGGGATAAAAGGAAGGATGGATCAGCYGTGGGAGCGATGTTTGGAGTGGCACCAGCTCCGTAATGGAATGTTTTGTCTTGCTAAATTCCCAACAATGTCGCCCCGACCAGCATTCCACATCCTACTTAATATATTCATTGGGAGCTTATTACATAAATGAACATGGGCTAAATTTATCCGACTTTCTAATGGAAATTGTAAATTCAATTATAATAATTATCTACCTATCTCTGCTATTTCTTTCTGCCTAATTTGCTTGCGGAATCGGAGCCGGGGTAGGTTTTGAGCTTGTTATTTATAGCACATATATTTAGCTTCCTGCCATTGTATTTGCATTGTCTCTGCTTTTCAGCAGCAGGTTTTCAGGGCTGATTTGATTGTTCTCTGATCAATATGAAGGGGCTCATTTGGTTGAGAAATGCCTTTGATCTAATTGAATTGAGAATTATTGCCAATAGAGTGTTATTTAAATTCAAAATGGATTTGCACAAATGATGCTATCAGCAGAGTTGAGTTGATTTTTTTTTTTCCTGGTGATAAATATGAAGTCRAAGAGAGCAAAGCAGAGAGGAAAGTTTTGTGTTTTGTGTTTTTGAGGGGCACGTGGTGGATGGAGTTGTGGAGGGAATGTCAGCTCCGTGACCACCAGCATTTCCCCGAGTTTACCCAGAGCCCCTTCCTGGATCCAGGACTGGAATTAGGCAGATTCCACAAGATTTTGAAATCTTGACACTTCCTCAGGTGCCTTGKTGGGGCTTCAGGAGTTAAGATGCCGAGTTAGGAAGGGGATTTGCTCAGGTAGAGGAAATACTTCATGGTAACACTCCAGAGGCAGATCAGCACTGGCATTTTAATTAAAAACCAAACAAAAYCTTCCATTTTGCATGTAGTAAAATTAAATTCTTATTTCATCTGCTTTTCATTTTGATCTGTTGACTTTTCAGCCTCAGAGATCACTGTGTACCAGTTGAATGGGAATAAGCAGTGCTCGCTTTGGAGCCTGCTCTGGGAAATCATGGGATCATTTGGGTTGGGAAAGGCCCCTAAAATCACTGAATCCAAYATTCCCACAGYCCTGCCAAGGCCACYACTSACCCCTGTCCCCAGTSCCAGGTGGGGATGCCTTTTTTCCAGCCAGGGAATTACAGCTTTCCAACCCTGGCACCCCTGGCTCCCGTGCCTCGTTGGTTCTGAGATTCTCATTCAGCAGCAGATTCAATCCAATGGATTTCCAAAGGGCAAGAGAGCATTTTGTATCCAAAAATACAAAATGAGGAGGAGGAACCTCCTCCTTACCAAGGAGGAAGGTGCAAGCAGGCCCAGAGTGAAGTGGTGGCACTGGAGAGGATGGGAAATAAAGAGTGGATGGAGCAGAGTGGAGAGAAAAGTTCAGGGCATGGCTTACGTGGTGTGCTTTGGGATCTCTCTTTGCCACCAGGGAGACTCTGGAGGATTGAGGAAAGCTGTGGAAAGGTTGGAAAGTATGTCCAGGTAGGATACAGGAAAGATATTTCAGCAAAAAGCCAGCCTGCCTAGCCTGCTGATACTCCAGCAAAAAGCAAGCCAGTTAGTCTGTGCTCAGTAAAACTGGGGAAAGCTCTGCAGGTGTAACTTCATGCTGCCTTAAATCCTSCTTGGGGAGGGTGTTCAGTTCCCTTCAAGGTTGTTTTTCCTTCTGCTCTTGCTCATGTCTGAAAAGTTCCAGTGATGAGATTGCAGGAGCATCAGGAGCTGCTCTGAGCACAGGGATGTTCTGACATCACCTTAAACCTCTCATCTTTTTGGTTAAAAACTATCCTTGCATAGCTTATAGAAGGATCAGTCTCATTTCTTAGGCACTTTCATGGCATTTCTCAGCTGTTCAGACACCAGGATCTTCCTGACCCTGCAATCCCTCAGTAATTTGTCCAGCACTGAGGCACTGCAGGTGTTGGGGCTGTTCTTGCAGGAATTGGAGCAGTCGCTGCTGTCCATGTGGAGCTTGCTGGGCTGGGGCAGGAGGGACAGGAACAAACCCAGGCACTGGCAAAACCCCATCAGGCTTGGGGGAAAACAAAAAGCACGGACTGGGGAGGAGGGGGACAATTTTAGGGACAAATAAAGCCATGGTAGAGCTGTGACACTGCAGCACAGCCTTGGAAACCTGGGCTGCCTGTAAACTGCAGCGTCCCCGGGCTCTGCTGCAACAGATTTTATCAGCTGGCTGCTTCAACGTTGTGGGGAAAAAAAAAAAAGTCTTCATTTCCATAATGACTTTTTTAATTTGTCCAATTAGCTGGTGATTCTAACTGGGGGTGCTTTTCTGTTGTGAGATACGTAAAGTGATTTAAAATATGTATATTTGAACATCCTGCGTTTCTGTTTGGAGTGTTTTAATTAAACCGTGTGTGTAATAGTAAATTGCGAGTTGCTTATCTCTCTAAATGGTTTTAAATTGTTTCTTTTTTGTTGTTTTTTAAAAAAAAATATTTCTGTTCTAACTGTGCAAAATCCAAAACATAATGGAAAAGTGATGCAGCCACTGCTTCAGCTGGGTTTTTAAGCTCTGAGTGCCTAGAGGCTGAGGGCAGTCGATACAGCCYGAGAAATCAATACCCTATCATGATACAAAGCGGGGAATTATAAACTTCTCCAGTGCTTTCAAAAGATTTTCCCTGGAATATTGAGCTAATTAATCCTGAACTTGGAGAGATTTTTTTTTTTTTTKCACTGTCAAAAGTARAAGTTAYATTTWAAAGTAASGGCTGAGGGTGTTCACAGCAAATTCTGCGGGGAGGGTTTGGTGAGGCAGAAGGCTCCAGCCTCACYTGCTGCCTCTGCACTTAGAGATGGCACAGGGAATGTTCCAGAATTCCACTCATTCAATCCCAATTGGTTTTTTGCAGCATCTGCCTCCTCCTCTCCCCAGCAAGACTCCTCCACCTCCGCCTCCCAAGACCACTCGGAAGCAAACATCTGTTGACTCTGGGATTGTCCAGTGAAGAAGGAAGCGGGTTTTTTTTTTTTTTTTTTTCACTCGGAAGCAAACATCTGTTGACTCTGGGATTGTCCAGTGAAGAAGGAAGCGGGTTTTTTATTTTTTTTTTTCCAAAGAGAAAGCTGTAACAATTCATTTCCCTAAGTATTTTATGGTCTGTAATGTTTACCTCATTCAGGTGTGCAGTATCTAACATTTAGTGCAATGACTCTAACTCCCTAAGAAATCCATTCCTCGCCATGTGTCGGACCCAACACTACATCCCCCTCTTTTTGGGGTTATTCCCTCCCATAACTTGAAAGAAATCTGGATTTCTACTTGAGACTGGGAACTCCATCAACTGACAGAACCCTCTTCCTGAACCTTCTCCCTGCTCCTGGGTGACACCAGGCACAGAGCTAAACGTGGGGATTCAAAGGAGAGCTGAATATTTTGTACCCAAAGTGTTTGGGTAACTCTTGAGTTTCAAATGAGCAGAGTTTTTGTATCTAATCTCAGTGTATATAGGAATCAGTGACAATATTCACATGGAATTCAGGGCAGGAGGAGGTTTCCCAGGGAGGTRAAGCTGCTGTAAGATTTCCTCCAAKAACAGGGATTTTAGCCCAGGRTTWAAAATCAGACACCACTGATTTGTGAAATTGGGCTGCATTACAAATAACCCGATTGCTGTGAGCTGAGTGGGGATTTGGGGCTCTTTGGCCATTGAGTTTAAAATCTCTGGTGACAGGAGGARAGGTGCCAGCAGAACCTCCWCTCTGGCCACGAGGCTGCTCAGGGAATTAGTGAGATCCTCTGGGAAAATGTTTCTKCAGGTGCAGGGTCCATCAGCGCTGGTCCCTTTTTAAACATCACCTCCTAAAGGCACAGGAGCAGCAATTCCCAAATGTTGGAAGTCAAACAGCCAGGGCTGAAGGGCAAACAGGGATTTTTTGGATATCAGGTGGAGAAGGAAGGTGTGTGCCAGTGGGAGCAGGGTCAGGAGATGTGGGAGTGACAGAGATGCTGCTCCCTCCTGCAGGGAGAAAATCTGTGTGGGCAGAGCTCAGCTGGGGTTGGAGCTGCCAGAACTGTGGGGGACAAAAAAAAAAAGAGCTTTTTWAAATATATTCATGGCAAAAGGCAGTGTAAAATACCATCAGCCCATTCCAGAACAGGGATGGACACCTCCAAAACAGGGACAGGGACAAGGAAGAGGGGTTTGACACATCCATGGATCATGGAGAAAGGGGTGCCAGTGCCCTGAGCAGGACCATGGCTGCAGGAATGATCAACTCCCATCAAACCTGAAACTGCAGATCTGSAGCCCCAGCTGAATCCCTGTGAATCATGGGGCCCTGTGGGATTTATCCAAGAATCCTCCAAGAGCTGCTGATGCCATCACAAAACCTCTTGTGATGATTTTTGAGCAGTCTTGGGAATCCAGAGAGGTCCCAGCTGACTGGAAGCWGMGGAATGTTGTCCTGATTTTCAAGAGGGGAAAGAAGGAAGACCCTGGAAGCTACAGACCTGGTAAAAAAAGAAAAGATTATTATGGGAGGTGTTGGAAAACACCTGGAGGACAACGCAGTCATCGGTCACAGCCAGCTCAGCTCCACGAGGGGRATTCCTGCTTGTCCAGCCTGATTTYCTTCTGGGATGGGGTAATGCAGCTGGATGATCCAGGACAGCCAGGAGATGGGATCTTTTGGGACTTCAKCAGAGCTTTGGATCCCGTTTGCCCCAGGATCCTTCAGGACAAAGTGCCCATCCTGCAGTGGGATAAACACGGCATGGGATGGGTGAGACTGGCTCGACATTGGGCTGGCACTGGTCACAATAGGAATAGGAAATTAAACTGTAGGAGAGTGTCCAGAGGAGCCCCAAGGGTGGGGAAGGGCCTTGAGGAGCAGCTGAGGGCAGCAGGAGGAGAGGAGAAGCTGAGCTTGGGTCATCAGCACCATCCCGAGGGGCAGCACTGGGCAGGACTGAGCTCTGCATTGCCACCGTCAGGGAAGGGCTGCAGAGGGCCAGGGCAGGTTTAGGTTGGATTTTGGGAAAGGTTCTGCTGTCCCCAGAGGGTGCTGGCACTGCCCAGGCTCCCCAGGGAATGGTCCCAGAGCTCCAGGAGCGTTGGGATGGATAGTGGGGAATTGTTGTGGGGTCTGTGCAGGGACAGGAGCTGGGCTGGGTGATCCTGACAGGTCCTCCCAAATCAGGATAAGCTGGGATTAATCTGTGTGAAATCAGCCCTTGGTAATCAACCATTGCCATTCTCATCCAAYTGGATCCTTGGTGTGTCCATGGAGGGGAAAACAAGGAAACCCTGGAGCTGCCAACAGCACAAGAATATGGGAGAGGAGAGGAGAGACAGCAGGGAGGAGACTCCTGGTCATTGTGAACCGAAATGTGGAGTACAAGAAACAGGGAGAGCTTTTTCCTTTCYTGCTTGTGTAATATTTCATGTTGGATCAGGATGAACTGAACGGAATCACTTTGTCCTTGTGCCATCATTCTGTACAGTGTTTGTATATATGATGGTTTTTAGAATGTTTTAATTTTTATGGTGCCTGCTTTTCACGTCATAATGAATTCATGTGCCTGCAAAGAATGCCTTAGGTATTCTTGATTTCCTAATTGCTCAAAGTGTAAAAAAAGAAAAAAACAGAAAGCATTTTTTTTTCCAGATATTAAACTCTGAAAAATATCAGACTGATGGGATGGGGTTTTGGGAGGGAGGAAGGAAACTAACTTTATACTCTAGTGTTTTTTTATTGTCATCACACTTTTGGGTTTTTTTTTATTATCTACAATCTTTTTACTCTTACTGTAGATTGTTTTTAAATATACCACTGACTCAAAAAAAATAAACTATTATTTTAAAAGCTTGTCTAAGAAAATGAATCTATTCCCTGGATATTTTTGATCCTCASTGCAGAATTTTGGAACTATTCTACTCTACAGAAGGCTGCAAAAACACTTCCTTTTTTTTTTTTCAGAATGATTTTTGGGGGGAATTTAGCTGGAATTTTTGACTGTATGCTTGGTCCTGCAGGTTGCAGCTCAAACACTAAGAAAATCCATGCCTGTGCTGATGGCTCAGGTAGCTCTGAGTTATGTTTTGCTGAATGCTTCAGAAAACAGGAGTTTTACGTAACATTTTCCACCTCAGGTACCTGCTGCACCACGCTAGCTTCGAGCAGAAGTGACTTTACACAGCAGTAAAACAACGCTGCTCTTAAAAAAAAATCGCCCTTCTCACAAAAAGTGGCTCCGGTGGTCAATTAGGGATTCTGCCATTTTTGCCTTAAAGCACGATGTCACTTTGGATCAGACAAACTCACTTTTCCTCACCATAAAATCAGCTCCCSGAGCGCCTCGGAATTTACTGCTGGATCTCATCCTGTGATTCCCTCCTTGGTTTGTTCAGATATCTCTGCTCGAGAGGGGCAGGCAGGGAAGGATCCATGGCTGCAGTCAGATATCTGTAGACAAYCAATGATGTATCACAACTTGAATTCTCAGAGTCTTTTATTTAATTGAGAATTGCTTTAGAGGCTGCTGCCAGCGAGCTCGTGTGGGATGAGGGTGAGATTCTCTGTCTTCTGTTCCATTTCCTTCCTAAAGGATGGGGAGAGCTTTCCCAGCCTGTAAATTGTGTTTCTGATAATGTGTTTGTTTTCACACGTCCTTAGCAAATTCCTGTGCTCATGCAAGTGTTCTAATTTGGCCCTTTGAGGTTCCTCAAACAAGAGCTGCACTTCCCAATCGGCCTCGTGGTACAAACTCCAAATCTCATCCGTGTRTGTGTTTTACAAATGTGCAGGCTGTGTGTGGGATTTGAAAATCAGGCTCTGGGAGCTGCTCTCAGACCCAAATTGTCACTTTTTATACAAACTGACAGCTCCTAGGCTGGGGCTGGTGTGGAACCCRGGCTGAGTGAATCGTGCCCTCCTCCAGGTGTGGGCAAAACACTTGAGCAAAGCCAGCAGCCAATTCTGTACAGGGGACAGTCCTGGTGATGCCAAAAATCAGGCTTGCCTAAAATCAGGCTTACCYAAACCAGGCTGGACAGAATTGAGAGAATSCAAAGCAGTTCTGTTATTTCAGAGCCTTCAGGGCCATCCAGGGCAGTCCCAMACCCACAATGGACAATGACTCACGGGTTTTTCACCCTTTCTCACTTTTGTCCATTTGCACATCGGGGCTGAATCCTCCAATTGCAGCTCAGCCAATGCAGTCATTCACTCCAASTTGGCTCCCCCAATTCTCTGTTGTTTCCATCTCTYGGGGCCTGGCCCAGGGAGGTGTCCTTGAGTTTGGGGCTGCAGAGGAATTGTTTTGTGTAAAAATGGGAGAGCAGGAGCTCAGCACTCTCTGTGGAGTCTGGAGTGAAACACTGAAGAATCCCAGGGGTGCAGAGACATGGAAATAGAGAAGCTGAAATCCTGAGGGATTGCTGGGAAAGCTGTCATTTCCATGGTTTGCTCTCCTCTGCACTGCAGTTGGGTGTCAGAGCGTCCCAGTGCCACGGGAATTCCTTGTCCCATGGTTTGTGCCACAGCTGAGCTCATGCAGAAGAGCTYGTTATGAAATACAGAACGAGGAGCTGATTTGATTTGAACTGGTGCTTCAGTTGTGTCTCTCATCTGCCCCATTTCTGTGGGAATTCATCCCTAAATGGCCTCAGTGAGTCTTTTGGTTTCCCCACCCTGATGGGATGGCCTGGTTTGTTTATCACCTCTTTATCCTCCTGCTGCCTCCACACCAAAGGTCCCCATTCCAATTTCACTCAAATCAACATTTCTGCTTACAGAGGTGGCCCATCCATAGCAGATCCTGTCCAGGGAATTGTCAGGATCCACAGGGGCCAGGTTTTCACCATTTGGGACCAGGCAGGGATTAACCTCCCTCAGGTGCCTCCCTTTGCTCAGCCTTGAGAGCAGCACCACACTTTGTGACACAAATTTGACCACACTTTGTGACACAAATTTGACCACATTTTGTGACACAAATTTCCCTGAAGGAAGCAATTCAGAGGTGTCAAGTTCTT